TTTAGTCCTCTCCTCCCAGTAAGGCCTGCATGCAAGTTCCTGGTTTCTGTTCATCCTTATTGTCTCAATGCTAATTCCTGTTTTTGGCCCACCCTTTGCCAGGAGGTGTAGGCTTCTGACCTTGGTGTTTTTCCACCATGCCTGCCACTGGTATATAAGGCTCCACTCTTGTTAAAACAAACACCATTCTCCTTGTAAGAATGAGCCGATGTCTTTGTCTTCATTTACATCCTTAGCCCATCGCTTGGATCCTTGTGAAGTATTGTAGCGCCATAACCGCGAACACGGGCCCGCTACAACATGTAAGTTCGGGATCACTACAATTTTACTGTTGAAAAGTATCTGTATGATAAGGCTTGAAAGCACAGGCCTTTAATCCCAGCCCTCGGAGGACAGAAGCAAGCAGATTTCAGTGAGTTCAAGGCCAGCCCGATACACATTGCATTCCAGGGCAGATAGGTGTATATAGTGAGACTGTCTATACTGGTGGGGATTTTTGTTTTGTTTTGTTTTTTGGTTTTACGAGACAGGGTTTCTCTGTATTGTTTTGGAGGCTGTCGGTCCAGCCCGGCCTCGAACTCACAGAGATCCGCCTGCCTCTGCCTCCCGAGTTCTGGGATTAAAGGCGTGCGCCGCCGCCGCCGCCACCACCACCCGGCACTGGTGGGGATTTTAAGGAGAGGGTGAGATTGGATGCTTCTTTGTAGGTTTGCCATTTCAAGCTGCAAACTCTCCTCCACTCCTCTCACCAAGTTCTCAGAGAGACACACGGCCCATGTCCCTAAATTTAGGGTAAAGTGAGTCCCAACAATTTAGCTCAGGAGTCAGGCCAACAAAGACCCCAAGTTAGTTAGAAGTAGGTCAGGAGTCCCAGCTTCAAGGTTTCATCCTAGAGCTTATGACAGTAGTAACTAGCCCTCGTTGGAGCCTGGCCTTTGCAGATGCTTAACTGTGTTAGTACCAGCAGGAGGCCGGAAACATTCAGCAACACTGTAAACCACAATGGACCAAGGTCGGCAGTCTGCATTCTCCAGGTCTGCCCATGCATCCTACTCCTTCAGTGGCTTGTAAGTTAATTACAGTTGGGAACCCTGCCTCACTTTAGACAGATTCCTCACATCAAGTCCTGGCTTGACATCTGATGTCTGCTAGGGTATCGGGTCCCCAGAACTGGAGCCACAGGCAGCTTATGTGGGTGCTGGGAATTGAACCTGCATCCTCTGGAAGAGCAGTCAGTGTTCTCAACCACTGAGCCACTTCTTCAGCCCCTTAATCCAGCCTCTTAAAACTTAAGTCTGGGCTGGAGAGTTGGCTCAGCAGTTAGGTCCACTTGTTCTTGCAGGGAATCCAGGTTTGATTTCCAGTATCCACATGGTGGTTCACAACTGTCCATTACTCCAGTGCCAGGGGATCCAATACCTTCTTGACTTCCATAGGCACCAGGCACACACACACACACACAAGCTCCTTGACCTTCCCGTCTATACCTTTCTTCAGATGAACACCCAGCTAAGACTCACCCTGCCCCCCCCCTTAGAGTCATCTTATATCTCACCATTTCGCTATTTTAAGTCTCCCGATAGCAGAAATAGGATGTGTCTAAAATTACCTGTCTGGTGAGCCTTGCATAGAGTGCTCTTCGACTAAACACTGCACCAGCATCTCTGTGATCATATTCCTCCAAGCCTCATCACCTGAGACCTGCTGAAACAGACTGAATTGGGCCCCAGGGAATGCTGTGCATGTGTGAACGGGTCTTAAATTTGCCATGTAGCTGAAGCTGGCTGGCCTTGAACCTGATCTTCTCAAGTACTAACCCTGGAAATGTAGACTAGTGCCACCACACTTTAGCATGGTCTGCAGCCCTTGTGATCTGACCCTGCCTCCTCTCCAGCTGCCCTCACAATAGTTATAACTGTCCTCATTTCAATTCAGCCTCCTCCCTCAGAATTCCCATACCTTATCTTCTTACTAGGAATCTATCTCTAACGCCCCATTCTCCTCTCCGTACTCCACATCTTAACTTTCATTGCAATTTCCTCAGAAAATCTTCACCAGCCAAGTTGTATAATTTTACTATTATTTGGGGTCGGGTGGAGTAATGCCAGGGCCTTGTACAACAAAATTAAGCCTTGTTTAGTCTCACAGCTTCTTTGTTCGGAAGGTAATTGTTATTTTTTGCCAATCCTGTTTACTGTTGTCATTTTATTGAGTCAAAGTCTCACTACATAGCTCTGGCTGGCCTGGCATCCAGGCTGCTCTTGAGACTCACCTGCCTCTGCCTCCTGACGGCTGGGAATAAAGGTGTGTGCCATCATCCCCAGCAGGATGAAGCTATTTAAAACTCAAGTTCTGTAATTAGAGTTCACTGAGAGTGGATGGCATACCTCTTGTCTGCCATTTTGTTAAGCATAATAAACTACAGGAGTAGTTGAGAAACTCACTTTTTGTTTTGAGACATGGCCTGGAACTCACTATGGAATCTCAAGTAGCCTCCAACTCCTTTGTCTCTGGAGTGTTTGCAGGTGTATGCCATCACCTCCAACTTACTTTTTTGGGGGTGGGGAAACTGGTCTATGTAGTCTTGTGTGCCATCACACACTTCGCTTCCTTCCCCACCCCTAAAACAGCCTTTCTCTGAGTGGCCCTGGCTGCCCTTGAACTCAAGAGATCCACCTGCCTCTGCCTCTCAAAGGCATGCCCCACCACTATTTCTTTCTTTCTTTTTTGATTTTCGAGGCAGGGTTTCTCCGCAGCTTTGGAGGCTGTCCTGGAACTAGCTCTGTAGACCAGGCTGGCCTCGAACTCACAGAGATCTGCCTGCCTCTGCCTCCTGAGTGCTGGGATTAAAGGCGTGCACCACCAACGCCCGGCCCCACCACTATTTTTTTTTAAAAGATTTATTTATTATGTATACAGTGTTCTGCCTCCAGGTTAGAAGAGGGCACCAGATTTCATTACAGATGGTTGTGAGCCACCATGTGGTTGCTGGGAATTGAACTCAGGACCTCTGGAAGAACAGTCAGTGCTCTTAACCTCTGAGCCATCTCTCCAGCCCCCCCCCCACTATTTCTTAAATGTTAGGTGTTCAAAACATTTTTAAATAGCCAGCCAGGTTGGGAAGCATGATTTAACTAGCTAACCATAAGATTAGCTAGACACTGGGATAAAGCATTTATGCACACAATATAAATTCACTTTAGTTTATGTGAGTTCCAGCCCAACAGGTCAGATAGTTCCTTCCTGCTTATATTGCAAGCAGGACAGGTCTAGTTTAAGTGGCTGACAGGCTTGGTTTTGGAATTTCCTCTTTAGATTTCATCATCTTTCAAGGATGGTTCCAGCACTTACTATCATCTCCCTTCTGAACTCCTATGGCTCCTCCTGTTGAGGTCAGATACCAGCAGTTCCAAGTTTAGTAATTATTGATAGGAGGTGTTACAACACCTCCATTGCTGCTAATGCCTATTAGTTTCATTAGAAAGTATTTTTAAAGTAAATTCCAAACATGATCAATTTATGCATCTTTAAAAAATATGGAGTCTGGAAAGACAGCTCAGTGATTAAGAGCACGTGCTGTTCTTCCAGAGGACCTGGGTTCTTGTCTCAGCACTCATAGTAGCTCACAACTGCATGTAACCCAAATTTTAGGAAATCTGATGCCTCCTTTTGGCCTCCACAGGCACTGCATGGATATGGTATACAGACATACACATAACAAAACACTGGTATACATAAAATAAAAACAAACCTTGTGTTACTATCAGCTAAACAAAGACATCCCCTAATTATATTATATCTGCTAAATAGTAGAACCTATTTGTTGCTGGAATTTTTCTTTCCAGATTGGTCCCGCTGTCCTTCAGCCCCAAATAAGCACACACACTGTATTAGTTACAAAATTGTTGGCCAATGGGTAGGGCTTATTGGCTAGGTCTGTCTTAATTACTAACCCATTTCTAAATCTATGTATTTCTATGTGGTCTCAACTTACTAGAGTGCCCAGACCTATTACTCTTTTGTGGTGTACATAGCATTCCCTTTCTGTCTCTGCCTATCTTTCCCAGAATTCTCATCTTCCAGACACACCTATCTTCCTGTCTCTATTGGCCAGTGTTTTAGTCATCAACCAATAAGAGAAACATATATATAGGACATCCCCCATCACCTACTACATTTATTTCACAATGTTTTGAAATGTGTAATAACTAATCTTCCCATTTTAGACCCTACATGTGTGTGTGGGCATGTGCAACTGAGGACAAGAAGCTGGTGTTGGGTCCCCAGAGCTAGAATTATAGATAGGTCCTAAGCTACCTATAATGTGTGCTAGGCATTCTGGTTCTCTGGGAAAGCAGTCAGCACTTTCAACTTCTGAGCTATCTCCTTTAGCCAGTCACCTCCCTTTATGTCACTAAACTGTTAACTAATGCATGGTCTGTAAGAGACAATATAAACTTCTATTCTCTGCCATTTTGCTTGGGTAGAAAGATGCTCTTGGCTTGATGAGAAGTCATAAAGTCAAGCTGTGACAGCTTACTATAAATACTGGCCCTAGTGATCTCAGAACCAATCCTCTCTGAAGTGTGTTCGCACTAAACACCCATGTTAGTGAAAACTGATGACTCCCAGTATTCTTACGTACACAGATTAGCTTTTTAAAATTTTCACCGGGCATTAGTGACACATGCCTTTAATCCCAGCACTTGGGAGGCAGAGGCAGGAGGGTCTCTGTGAGTTTTGAGACCAGCCTGGTTTCAAGAGCTAGTTCCAGGACAGCCCCCAAAGCCAGAGAAACCCTGTCTTGAAACACCCCCACCCAAAGATATACTTTACAAGGCACAAGTTATCATGGCTATAATGATTATAAGTACCTGAGAAAATGGATAAAAATAAAATTGATAACAGTATATGGACATGGACAGCAATAACAGTAATGTTTGCTTTTACATTTTTATAATTTTCATTTAATGAGTAAGCATTCCAAACGTACTATTATCTTAAATGTACTAGATGAAAATTTATTGTTTCAAATGTTACCAAAAATATTAGTACAAGAGATGTATTTCTAATCATTCTTAGTAAAACTAAGCCAGCCTAGTCTACAGAGTGAGTTCTAGGACAGCCTCCAAAAAATACAGAGAAACCCTGTCTTGAAAAGCAAAACAAAAGCAAATAAAAACATTTTTTTTCATCAACAATCCCCAAGATGAGAATGAAATGACAGGCTCCTTTACAAGAAAAAGACTACACATTGTTCCTCCGCATTAATTTATCATTTAATATAAATGCTGACAAAAAGCAGATAAAGACCTTGTAGACATTTCATGTATTTACAATCCAAAAGGTGAATCACCTCCTTCTTTTTGTTAAAATGAATCCTTTTATCTGCAACTCATAAGAGCCTTAAACCCTAATTAGGAGCAACAAGAGGCTGAGTCAGTTTCCAAGGTAATAAAGGAAATGGCATTTTAACAAAATGTGGCATCTTTATATAAACAACATGCACACAAATAATACAAAATTGAGAAAGGCCTTAATCTTCTCAAAAATATGCAACAAGTGGAATACTCATTCAGATCCAGAACTCAGTGACTCTAAACATATTTCTACTTCTTTTCTTCCACTTCATTTGTTTTGAAGGCTGGTTTTTAAAAAAAAAATGCAAATATTAGTCGGGCGTTGGTGGCGCACGCCTTTAGTTCCAGCACTTGGGAGGCAGAGGCAGGCAGATCTCTGTGAGTTCGAGGCTAGCCTGGTCTGGTCTATAGAGCGAGTTCCAGGATAGCCTCAAAAACAATACAAAGAAACCCTGTCTCGAAAAACAAAAACAAAAATTAAACAGATTAAACAAGGAAGGGAATGTTCCATTTCAAGCAAAGTTCTTTTTTTCCTATTCAAAACAAACTTGCAGAAGATAATGCCTCCAAATAAAATCACAGCATTGGCCAGAAGCTAAGACGTTAGTCCTGGGTTGGTGAATTTCAACCCCTCTTTTGTTTTCAATTGGAAACATTTGGAAAATGTAAAATGTCATAAAATCCACTAATTTAAAAGTCAGTTGTTACTTTAAGGCTCAACTAGGAAAAATTGAGAGCAGGTGGGTAGAGAGTGACAGGAAAAGAATGGGGAGGTGAGGCAACAAGAGCACACAGGAGCGTGAGAAGACTTAAAATGGTAATCCACGTACCATTCCACTCTCCAAAACTGCAACCTCATAAAGTCTCGTCTATTCTGACTCAAATCTCATGGGCTCCTCTATTAGCTTAGATTGTTTCAGTTAAGTATACCTCTGCAGGGCACAATCACATACAATCAATACGATTGGTAAATTACACAAGCTCTATCCCAAGCAAATATGAATCAATGTTAAAGTTATTTTTTAAAAACAAACAAAATAAGGAAGTAAAATCCACCCAAAAAGGTGATAATGACTGCAGAATATCTCAGGAGACTGGCATGAGCCAAGAGATCAATTAACCATTTCAGGGAAGGGCAGCAGGGGTAGAAGGGAAAGACCACGCACCAAGAGGAACCTCACAACTGGAAAATGTTTAGGTGGGTGAAAGGTTTGTTCATAACCTCAGTTCACTTTCTGCATGACTCCTGGAAAGTCACAGATTCATTACAAAGGAAGATACTAAGGCCCATGAGCAGTTAATACATTTTTTTCTTTCAGTTCTTTTACATCCAGAAGGTGGGAAAACAAAGGTGAGTGGAAAGTTAGGCAAAAACACACACGGGCGAAAATCTCTCAGGACTGTCTTAGCTAAACAGGAGATGCAGAGCTGAAAACCAAAAGCTTTAAAGGCATGTAAATAATGAAATAAAATGTGATGGGCGTGGTTTGGATATTACTGTGAAATGCCAGAGACAGGCTACACCAATAAATTATAGAAATGACAACTGAAAAAGGAGACCAAAAACAGACAAAAAACCCAGACCATTATCCACCCAGTGTTTGTTTGCTTCCATTTCTTGACCTTTCATGCCCTCCTTAGAGTGGGACCACCTGGCAGTTTCCAGTTCTAAGATGACTCTGAGTGCACAACCTAACATGGAGCCAAAGACTTGTGATCTGCCTACTTAGCGTTAAAGACAAAACTCAAAACCAAACGAAGAGTCACCAGAAAGTGAGTCTTCCATACAAAATGAAGTCATCTTATCTACTAAATAACATACATCAGGTTAACATACTCCACAGGATTTCATTTTTCTAAATACATATTTTTTTTGACACAGTATTGTCTTAAGGTTGTGTTACAACTTAGTTATTTTGCTCAAGGTTAAGTTCAGGGAAATTCAGTGTCTAGAATTCAGAAACTCTAAGAACTATCTCAGTCCTAAGGGAAGTCCCTTTATCATAATGGGGTTCCAAAGGTTCTTTCTTTACCCAGCTTATTCAGTGTAGCATTGAAAACCCACCTACTGAGAACATACCTATTAGAAGAAGGTGGTACTTACTCCTGGGGGTGGCAGTTTCCTCTTCTTTATTAATGTAACTAGCATTATTAATCAATTAGAATGTCACTTATGAAAACACCTTTATCTATTACAGAAATAGAATCTTAAAATTTCAAGTAACAAAAAGGTTTTATTTAAAATTATACCTTTTGAAAAAAAAAAAAGCTTTCTCTGAAGTGGTTCAGAAGAGTTGATTGAAAACTTAAAATTTACCAACAAACTCCCAGCAAGTCATTTCAGCAGTTTTAAAAAGCTGAGCTTATGAAATAAATATAAAAGCCTTAGCTGTCCAAGGTAGACATGGATGTGTTTCTGCAAAACAAGCATGCAGATAAAAAGGTCACAGTAGTAGACTGCGTGTTTAACTCTATGGTGGAGAGTGCATTGTCTCAATGAAGTTGGTTAATCTGAGCTCCATTTTCAGGGGATAAGGTCCCTTTACAACACTATAAAGGTATTAACAATTAAGATTTTAACACACTTGAACATTTTATGGGGCAAGAGTGTATAGTGTAATACTGCAGGTTATTTGCAAGGTCATTCATTCCTCCTTAAAACTAATTAGGCTGTATCTTTTAATAAAAGATAAATCATTACAGGTGATTTTACACAAAGATTTTTACATATTAAACTCTTGATTTTTAAAAGCCCAAACGGAGAATAGGGAAAAATTTCATTCTATCACCATTTGTACATATAAATAACAGCACATGAATTTCATTTAATGAAAGCAAGCTGTCCCTGAACATAGCTGAACAGATATTAACTACAGTCAATTATTTCTTACAAACCTCAAGCTCAGGAAGAGTCCCTAACCCCACAACTTGACCATAGTGAAAGTACATTGTCCTGTAGGCACAAGTGAAAATACAGAGAAACACAGAAGATTCTATTACATCAGTATAATCCCCAAAAGGGAGAGTGAGTTGCTTAAACAAATATTGTCAAGGATGATATTAACTGGTTTAGAGAAACTGATGAATTTTCATTACATTTTATAAGGCCAGCTAACCTTACAGTTAACTTTAGACATCTACACAGTACAATCAACTTACAAATACTACCAGGTTTCATAATCAAAATGGCTACTATTTCCCCTAAAACCAAAACAGAGTAAAGCACAAGTCTTTGGCGCTCCTTAAAGAAATAGCAGGTTATCATTCTTTACCAGACCTTTGCTTGCCTGCCAGTAGGGCAAATACCACATCTGTGCATCACTGAGTAATAACGCCATTAGAAAAGGCAACTTCACAGAAGTCATTGGCTAAGCGAATTCATTTGAATGCTCTGTTTAGAGGCAGCAAACTGTCACTGTTACAGATTGGGTAAGTCAAGGGGAAACTGCAGAATGGCAAGGGGTCAGGAAGAAAAAAAAAAAAAAGACAATCATGGGAAACTTAGGAACTAAATTTTAAGCTCCCACACTTAAGCTCATGGGAGTCTGGTGGAATCATGTATCCAAGTAGCAAGTGAGAACCGAATCAATCTTCTTTTAGGCAAAAGAATAAATACATGGGGGGAAAAACAGAAGGGAAGGAAGATGAGAGAAGGGAATAACCCACATTGATGCCATACCAAATGAGTTCTTACACATTCTGAGTAGTTGAGTATTTGTAATTGACAATAATAGTGTCTTGTCACTTGAACTAAAAACCTATGCTACAAGTTCTGTCTAATTAAAAAAGTAGTAAGGAATAGCTCTTTGGTCACATTAGACTCTGTAAATTATCCAGGAGAGGGCAGCTATTAGACTTATCTTGTGACTATCAATTAGGAGAGTAAGTCTAGACATTTCATTCTCAGTTCCTTCATCGTTTTCCCAGAGACTCACTGAAAACAGAATGAGCCATAGTACTTTTATATATTCACTACAATAACACATCTTAGATGATTCTTGCTCTTAAAGAGTGAGAAACAAATAGTCACCTTCAGAAGAAACCATTTAAGTGAAAAAGTATACACATTGCTGAGCATGGGGGCACATGCCTGAAATCCATCACTCAAGAAGCTGAGGGTTCTAGACTTCAGAACCAGTTTGGGCTACATGGTAAAACTCTGTTTCAAAAAGGGGTGATGCTGCTGTAAAGCTCTGTTTTCTATTTGATGAGTTTCATTTTTTAATGTCTATAAAGACACAAAAATAAATACTTTTCAGATTCTGACAAAAACAGCAGTTAAGAGTCATGAAGATATGCTTCAATTTATTGTTGCCTCATAACACAAAATTTATTAAGGGGAGAAAACATCCTCAAAGTTATGGGGGTTTTATTGAGTCCCTAAATATGGCAGTGGGCACAAACAACCTCCACCCCCAACACACAAAACACACCTAAGTATTGGTAAGGGAAAACAACCAACTAATATACCATTTACAAAACTAATTTTCTCCCTAAATAGCATCTGAAGGGACCCAAGAGCACCACAACAGAGTGCATTGGGGGGTTGGGGGTTCCACATATACCACAAAGGAAATTTACTTTTATTCTTAACTCTAACAAAACCAATATGCAGATTTTCCCCCTCTAGTCATTCGAAATTCCAAAACTAACCACCTGCTTCTAAGACTTAGGAATTATCTGACATGGCCAAAGGAGATAAGATCTGCCCAAATATGTCTACTATAGGCAAGAAGACAATAAGGTAGCATTTTGTAGATGTGCAGAAAATAAAAATCCTGTCAGATATAACATCCTTTCCTTCTCTCAATAAATAATGAGTATTTAAAGTATAACTGTAAGAGATGTTTTATCTTAAAAAACAAAAAAGGACCAAAAAAGCAAATGTACAAATGTGTATTTAAAATGAAAAGGAAAACGTATGCGTCAACTGAAAATGCCTCACCGTCAATCAGTGCTTCTACTCCCAATCAGTCACTTTACTGCAACAGCTGCGCTCATGCGAAGAAATCTTTAAAACATACCCAATATATATACAGATATAGCCATGTATATATGTATATATATAATATATATAAATTTTTATTTAAATAAAAAAGAAAGCTCGAATCCCAAGCCAATATGTGTATATCAAATCCTTGACCAGCCAGGTCTGTAGGGCATAATCAAATTCAATGTGAAATAGTATATAAACACGGTGCCTTGACTGGGCAAATTAAATAATCGCTACTCAAATGAGTGTTCTGTTTGGATTTCCTACTGGTAGGCAATGGCAGGACTATTTTACCCTTCCCACCCCACCCCCACCCACTTGTTTCCATTAACAATATGACAGACACAGAGTGTAGACTGAGGTAGCTCTGACCTCAGCAGGAGTTAACGGGTAGGAATATAAGAAATAAGAAAAATATAAACTTTTGCTTTTACCCAACCAAAGCAATGCAGTAACTTATTACATAACCAGTGCTTTCTTGTTTAGTAGTATTGTCTAGAAAGGGAAACAGGATGTCAGGCAATCAGAGGAATGGAGTGACTCTATAAAAGTCCCCCAATGAACTCATTTTACAGGGGCTTGATAAATTAAGCGTATAGTGGTAGCATTAGAATATGTGCAGCAGAACTAGGTAAAAATCCTCCTTACTCTTTCATAATGTCATCATGAAAGTTTTTAATGTCAGAAAGCCAAGTCTAAAAACCCAAGTTATTTAGTTATACTAGTAACTATGAGCAGCACAAGTAATCAATGCATAAACTATCTTCAAGCTCAGTTTATTTGCCAAATCTTTTTTGAGAGGAAAAATAAGCATTCCATTGAAATAATGTGTCCCCAGTTAAGTTCATATCGAGTGTTAAGCTTTATTTTGATCTTAATATTTTATGTAGTGTGTGTGTGTGTGTGTGTTTGTGCACATGCACTCATGTGTGCTAGTGCCACAAGGCCAGAAGAGAGTGTCAGATTCCTTGGAAGCAGACTTACTGGCAGTTGTGAGCTACCTTATGGTGACGGGAAGAACCTGGGTCCTCTGGGAGAGCAGTCAGTGCTCTTCTGCTGAGCCATCTCTCCAAGTTTTAGAACATGGTTCATTGTCCTGATTTTTTGAGCATTCTAGGATTTCAATAGAAGTTTAATTTGTAAGCACAATTACAATTTTCTTACATGAGAGCTCAGCACAGGAGACTAGGAACTGTTTTCATTAGTAACAAATTCTTTCGATTTTGATTTTCTCCTGCCTGAGCATACGGAGTCCTAGGAGTATGGGAATGAGCCACCATGTCCAGTTTAGAGTTCATTCTTAAGGTACTCTTCATTTAAGTCTAACTGAGCAATGTAAACACCAAATAGGCTTTCAGATTTTATGGAGAAATGCAAGGAACCCTTAACATAAAAATGTGTAGCTCTAACAATCAACCACCTATTGAAATCTCTGAAAAGTTGAAACTAAAACCATACCCTACTCAAACAAAGTTTTAATGTGGTAAGAAAGAAGTCACAAAGCTAGTGATCCAGAATAGGGTAGGGTGGGTTTAGGTGCGCTGAAGAATAACTATACTAAAATGAGTTTGCTGCACAGTTTCTAATAACCCAATATAATATGAAGAATTCTTGGAAACAGTGCTTTCAGTTTGCAGGGTTGTGAGTTGGAAAGCACTGGGAGAAAGGAATTATACACTGGGTATGTAATAATACCAAAATACAAGAAAAACCTACTTCATTAAGATCAGACAATTAATCAAACAGAGTGTATATATAATATCTTTTTTTAAAGCCCTGGATCCAAGGCGTCCAAAGTTATTAAAATAAAGTTCATTCACAGAACAAAAACAAATTTAATCTGAATTGCTTGCAGATACTGCTAATTTTCTTTTTCTTTAAATTAAAAAAAATGCATTAATGTGAACTATGTGCAGGGTTTGTTTAGTAGTGGTGTTTGTGCACATTGCCTCCGATGCTGTTTTTCCTGGATTTCACTGAGCACTCAGAGAAAAAGTTTAGAAGTTATCCATTCTTCTGGCCCTATGTCCTACAAATTGATAAGGACTAGAAGGTAGAAGCAGGGCACCCATATTCTAGGGAGCAGAACTGGAAGTAACTCCTGGTCTCTGGGAATCGTTGTTATCTCCTCCTCCCTCAGGATCTTCTGCCAGGTTCAAAGAGCTGGTCTTGTTTGATAGGAGGCTGAGATTCTCTTGTGTCAAAGCTGATCCATTTGGTACATCACTGTTAATCACATGAAAAATGTTGAAAATTTTAAAAGGAGAAAAGGCTTATCATTTAGTATTGTGGGAAAATATGAGTCAGGAGTGGTGGCATTTCCAAGCAGGCTGATCTCTTATTAACTTTAGGCTAGCTTGGTTCCAGGTCAACCAAGGCTACACAAAGAGACTCCTCCTCAAATAAATAACCCAAACAAAACAAAAACAAAAAACTATAAATAGCTTCCAAATTTTTATTATAGCTCCTCATACACATTGTAGCATATAATTCATAAACTAAAGCTGTCAAGCTTCCTGTTCTAGAAATACAAGTTTTATTAGAATACAACCTGCATATTTGCTTCTGTATCTATTGTCACTCACACATTAGAGGACTGAGCTACAACAGGCACAGTGATACCCAGCACTTGGAAGGCAGGGGTAGGTGGTGAGACAGTCCAACCTCCAACATTGAGACCCATACCTTAAAATAGTTGCTGCCTGGTATTAAAAAAAATGTGCTAACTTTATTTGTATGGGAATTTATTTTTAACCTAGGACAGCATATAGATTTAAAGTAGGTAGAACCCAAGAAGAAAGCAACAGGGCAATTAAAAATTCTTTGTGTTAGCCGGGCGTTGGTGGCGCACTCCTTTAATCCCAGCACTCAGGAGGCAGAGGCAGGTGGATCTCTGTGAGTTCGAGGCCAGCCTGGTCTACAAGAGCTAGTTCCAGGACAGCCTCCAAAGCTCCAGAGAAACCCTGTCTCGAAAAACCAAAAAACAAAAACAAAAAAATTCTTTGTGTTTGTTTTTTTTTTTTTTGTGGTTGTTGTTGTTCTTTTGAGATGGGTCTTTCTACATAGTCGTAGCTATCTTGGAACTCACTATGTAGAGTAGGCTGGTCTCAAACTTACACAGTGAGTGCCAGGATTAAAGGCAAGTGTTATAGGTCATGAGGAGGACAACATAGGACTATACATGCAAATGCCTCAAAGATGCCAAAGAAAATAAAGATAAAAAGTAAAATAATGCCTTTAATCCCAGCACTCGGGAGGCAGAGGCAGGCGGATCTCTGTGAGTTGGACGCTAGCCTAGTCTACAGAGTGATCCCAAGACAGCCAAAGCTACACAGAGAAACCCTATCTTGAAAAAAAAAAATCAGTATATTCACATTCTTTTTTCACTACACAAAAAAATAGTTCTTTAAAAAATCATAAGGTACCCAGCACTCGGGAGGCAGAGGCAGGTGGATCTCTGTGAGTTCGAGGCCGGGCTGGTCCCACAGCCTCCAAAAAATACAGAGAAACCCTGTCTTGTAAAACAAAAACAAAAAATAAAATAAATCATTTATGGTTAATAGTATATAGAAGTATCCTGTTACCTGAATGTCAATGTAAGGTCTTCAGCTGGGACTTTGTTTTGTGGTTCTGGCTGCCCATTTTCTGCTTGCTTACTTGTATTCAGTTTACTTTTCATGTCCATAGAACACTGGTTCTCCTTTAAAAGGAGAGGAAATAAAATTAGTAATCCGTGGTTTAATGGGACAGAGCAATACAGACAACACAAGTGATGATCAAAAAAACCCAAAAACTTAGTTTTATTAAGAATTAACAGCTGGGCGTTGGTGGCACACGCCTTTAATCCAGCACTTGGGAGGCAGATCTTTGTGAGTTCGAGACTAGCCTGGCCTACCAAGTGAGTTCCAGGACAGCCTCCAAAGCTGCACAGAGAAATCCTGTCTCAGGGAGGAAAAAACAACAAACAAACAAACAAACAAAAAGAATTAACAAAACAAGGGCTGGAGAGATGGCTCAGAGGTTAAGAACACTGGCTGCTCTTCCAGAGGTTCTGAGTTCAATTCCCAGCAACCACATGATGGCTCACAACTATCTGTAATGAGATCTGGTGCCCTCTTCTGGCCTGCAGGCATACGTGGAGTGCTGTATACATAATAAATAAATAAAATCTTTAAAAAAATTAACAAAACGGAGATGACAGAGGGTACACATAAAAGCATAACAGTACAACCTACTTCGTTACAATCTTAGAAAAATACCACAAACTAACATTGAAAAAACAGCAGAGAGAACAGCGTATAAGCTATAAATTCCTTTATAAAAATAGGTCATCAATACCTTACATGCCATGAAAACTTATCATTTTATTGTATAAATGTATCTTGGGTTCCTCTGTGTAGCCTTGGTTCTTGGCTATCCTGGAACTCACCCTGTGGACCAGACTGGCCTCAAACTCACAGAGATCCACCTGCCTCTGCCTCTGAAGTGCTGGGATCAAAGGTGTTCCACAACACCACCCAGCATATAAATATAAATGTTACATGGAAGTACAGAAGATTAATCATCATCCCATCTGCTTCATATATGTGTATGTTAAACAGAAACTTTAATATTTCCAATTACCTGTTTGCCCCAAATGTGAATAGAGAATCAAGTCTATAGAAAAGGACAAATCCAAAACAGCAATAACTAAGAGAGGAATTATACAACCAGGTGACAACTCATTTATTTATTTATTTATTTATTTATTTATTTATTTATTTATTTATTTATTTGCTTGCTTTTTCGAGACAGGGTTTCTCTGTGGCTTTGGAGGCTGTCCTGGAACTAGCTCTTGTAGACCAGGCTGGCCTCGAACTCACAGAGATCTGCCTGCCTCTGCCTCCCAAGTGCTGGGATTAAAGTGTGCGCCACCAACGCCTGGCGACAACTCATCTTTATGAGAACTACCCCAAATATTAGTCACTTTTCAAGGTACCAGGAACAAACTCCAGATAATTCTAAATTAGTCACACAGAATTCATTTCACCTTCCATCCCTTCCTTTTCCAACATCAGCACTTACCATACTCAATTCCCGGGTCCTCTTGCCAATTTCTCTTTCCACCTGATGCAATTCCAAGCTTAGCTGCTCACTTGAGATCATTCCAGGCCATTTTGGAGGCAGTGGAGGGGGCTGTGGCTGGCCTGCCAGGGTGTTCACCTCCCTCTGTAACACCAGTCGGTTATTAACAGCCTAGTGCACAAAGCCAAGCACACACACAACTCAGCATACTTCACACTACATGGAGAATGCCTCATCCCAAGTATTCACGCTAAACCAGTCACATGTTTGCGATAAAAATGATCCTACTATAAATACAAGCTCTTTTTAATAGCGAGTAAAAAATTTTTTTTGTTGTTTTGTTTTTCTAGACAGGGTTTCTCTGTGGCTTTGGAGGCTGTCCTGGAACTAGTTCTTATAGACCAGGCTGGTCTCAAATTCACAGAGATCCGCCTGCCTCTGCTTCCCAAGTGCTGGGATTAAAGGCAAGCGCCACCACGGCCTGATTAAATGGTTTTATTTTTAAAAGATGTATTTTAAGAATGTGTGTGTAAGCCGGGCGTTGGTGGCGCATGCCTTTAATCCCAGCACTTGGGAGGCAGAGGCAGGCGGGTCTCTATAAGTTCGAGACCAGCCTGGACTACCAAGCGAGTTCCAGGACAGCCTCCAAAGCCACAGAGAAACCCTGTCTCGAAAAACCAAAAAAAAAAAAAAAAAAAAAAAAAAAGTGTGTGTATACTTAAGTGAAGGTGCCTATGGATGCCCAAAGAGGATGCTGGATCCCCAGGAATTGAAATTACAGGCAATTGTGAAACAGGAGTCAAACTTGGATCCTCTGGAAGAGCAGTAGCCCTCAATGTATGTGGTGGTGGCATATACCTTTAATCCCAGCACTCAGGAGGCAGGGGCAGGTGGATCTCTGTGAATTTCAGGCCAGCCTACAGAGCAAGATCCAGGACAGGCTCCAAAGCTACACAGAGAGACTCTGTCTCAAAAAAACAAAACACCCCCCCCAAAAAAAAAACACAAAAAACCCACCTACCAAACATACTAATAGATGATTATATCTATCCAAAAACCAAAAATACTATCAATTTCCCCCTTATTTCAAAGAAAAGTCAATTATAAATGTCTCTCTATTATTTTCCCTGAACAAATCCTGTAATTTTTTTCTATAAAAACTTAATGATGGAGGCTGGATAGCTCAATAGTTAAGAGCACCGGTTGCTCTTCTAGAGGACTGAGGTTCAATTTCCAGCACCCACATGGCAGCTTAAAACTGTCTGTGGCTCCAGTTCCAGGGGACCTGACACCCTCACATAGAAATGCATGCAGGCAAAACACCAATATACATAAAATAAAAACAAACATAACCTCTTGATAATGGCAAGGATTGTTTCTTTTTTCCCCTGGTACTAGTCTCAGATAATTATTCTTTTTCTATTAGTCAAGAATTAAATCTAGTTCTGAATTCCCTGAGAATGGATATCTATACTGTAACACTTAAGCAAAGGCTTTAAAATCCTGTTTACTGTATCTCAAAAATTACTATTTGAGGGGACTGGAAAAGTGGTTTGGTGGTTAAGATTGCATACTGCTCTTCCCTGCACTCTTGTCAGCACCCTTGTCAGGATGCCTATAAGCACCTGTAACTCAAGATGGAATCTTCCTCCAGCACCTCCATTCATGTACACACCCTACCCTCACCAAACACATACACATAATGAAAAAATCCAATTTAAAATCCTTGGAAATCCTTCAAAACTGGACCACAAAATAGTTGCAGTGCTGAACACCTGTAATCTCACTGTAAGTACAAAGGGTGGCCAACACAGGAAGATCAGGAGTTTAAGTTTAAGGCCAGCTGGGTTGCATAATGAAACTTTACAGCAAAACTCCCAACACAAAGGTGTCTATAGGTCTGTACCTCTAGTCCACGTAGCTGGGTTTGCTGGCTGATCTGGTGATTCAATTGCTGCAATTCTAGCCGTAATTGTTCTCTTTCAGCAGACAGAAGGGGCTTTCCATGACTGACCACTTCTGCCATGGACATTTTTTCCCTTTGGCAAGAAAGAAATCATGAAGTAAAATTCTGAAGTTTTATTTTGTGAAATCATTACTACTAGAAAAACAAAAAAAAAAATAAGGAAAGCTGCATGCTTTAAAGTATTTAAAACAAGTAAAAAGAATGACTTATACCTCTCAATGAAGTGTCCCTGAGGAGGTATGTTTGGATGAGGTGAGTATGGAGAATCCCCCCAGCCACCATGAGCTCCATATGGACTGTAATCTGTAAGGGGACAGTTTAACATAGTAGAATGTAATTCACAAGTTTGAGTCATCTTCTATGGTACTATAATCGAAAAAGGAAAGGCACTTTTATATCTCTGTCCAGAAAGTCATCTCCTAATTTTTATATATTTTTTTCTCAGTGTGTACACAAGAATGTTTGAATGTAGAGGTGACGGTTGATGTCAGGTTACCTCCCCAAAACACTGGGATTATAAACACATGCTCACACAAGTCAGAGTTTTATATGGTAGTGAGGATCCAAACTCAGATCTTTATCTAATCAGTCACCACCTCATACTCCAAAAAAACTATTATTTTAATAAAGCAATGAAGTCATTTATATAGAAACCATAGGCAATTTCTTTCTTTCTTTTTTTTTTTTTTTAGACAGAGCCTCTACTCCAGAATAGCCTCAAAATCACTATGTACCCAAGGATTAAACTTGAACATTCTGATACCCTGCCTTCCGTTTTCCAGTGCTGGGATTATGGCATGTGCCATAAAACCTGGTTTATGTGATTTTGGTTTCATGTATATCAGGCATGCACTCAACGAGCTATACTCCAGCCCCTCGGGCAATCTTAATATGTAGACAGTTTATACTCCTAATTCCCTGAGGTATAATTGCTTTCTTACAGGGAAAAGCACTGATAGAGGTATACTGACTCTGAGATTCTTACCTGAAATGCTAATAGGTTTTGTGGGTGCTCCCTGTGGTGCCATGGCCTGCATTGGGCCAGCACCCTGATACAGTGTTTTGGATGTTCGAGAGATGGCACCAAACCGAGATACTGTTGGTCGATCTCCAAATGGGATGAGGTCATCATCACTAGTTTCCACTGCTCTTCTCTGAAGATCCAATCTCTGGTCTCTCATTCCTTTACAGTCTACATTCTGACAAAAAGCAAAAATGAGATGCTGTCTAGCATAATTTCCACTAGCTCTGTAGAGAGGTTAATAGCAGTATGATGCTCTTATTAGTAAGTCTTTAGTTGCCTTTCACTGTCATAAAACATTGCTTTTTAGATCATAGTACGAAATACATGACCAACTTTAGGTACAGACAGATGATAGATCCTCCTATTCCTAAGTACTACGTACAAACATTAACTTGTCAGGCAAGCACTTTAATACTAAGCTATATGCCTAGCCCACACACCAATGCTTAAGAACCACTATTACGGCTTCTTTCACATATTTAGAAAAGCTTTTAATGGTATCTACACTAGGTTAGCAATTTTGTTATTGTTTACTAATGTAAGGAAATTCATCTTACTTTGCTATTAATATTAACTTCAGTGTGAGGGTCCTCTGGAAAGCACCTTTCATTATTATTCTACTTTAGCTTATTCCAAAGAATGACTTCTGTGGTGGAGAAGCATATATTTTGTGAATTGTATCCCACAGAAAAAAGTTTTGCTTAAATTAAATTTTAATTTCATCTTAATTGGTGCTGGGGACTGAGCCCAGGGCCAAGCTGTGTCACTCTCCCAGCCCCCATGCAGTTTTTATTTTATTATTTGTCTATATAGCCTGTCATCAGTTGGTATTATCTAGCCAGATAGGTAAACATTACCTATGAAAATCTACACAAATCAGTACGGAACCATTTTAGAATCAACAGGGAAAATGATGTCAAGAGATGCCTTTCAAACCAGCAATGGCACCTTTTTCTTTTCTTTCTTTTTTTGGGGGGGAGTGGGGGTGGGTTCTCACTATGTCACACTAGGTATACCAGAACTCACTAAGGAGACCAAGTTAGCCATGGACTCAGAGATCAACATTCATCTCTCTCGAGTGTTGGGATTATAGGTGTGAGCTATCTGTCCAGGAACACATCTAAGCATAACTTCCATGGATGTGCACAAGGACACCCTACAAAGTGCCCATTAACATCCATAAGGGGTAGGAGAGATGCCTCAGCAGTTAAGAGCACTTTTTGCAGAAGACCTAACTTTAATCCTACCAACCACATGGCATCTCTAGATTTACGATATTCAATGTCCTGTGGCCTCTGAGGACACCAGGCACACTTGTGAAACACTGACATACATGTGAGCAGAATGAATATAAACAAATCTAAAAAAAATATGAAATACTAAAAATTATACACAATAATAAAAGATCTGATAACACAAATTTATAATTTTAGTTATTAGAAAGGAAGGCAAGCATACCACAAGTCTGAAATTATTTTGTGTTACACACAATGAGTTCTAAGGCAACCTGAAAACTTACACGAAGTTCTGTCTCAAAAAGAAAAATGTAGTAGTTGAGCATAGTGTTACCTGCCTATAGTCCCAGTACTCAGATCTCTCACTGAACCTGGAACTTACTGACTGGCTAGATTGGCTACAAGCCAGCACCTGGGATCTTCTTGTCTCTGCTCCCCAATGCCAGGATGACAGACACTTACCATTTTATGTGGTGGTCCTCAGGATTACATAGCAGGGGCTTTAACCACTGGGCCTTTAATGTTACATTATGCTAAAGGTGACACCTTTACCTACAGAATGAGAAACTCGGGCACAGTAGCTCAGACTGGTAATCTCAATGACTAAGGAGGACTAAGTTCAAGGCCTGCCTGGGCTACAGAGAAGTGATACCACCACAGGCCATCTCTCAGGGTTAGAAAGTTTGGGTATCTTACGACATCATTCACATTTATGGGGTCCTTGGAAGGGACGCTCCAGACACTTCAAGTATACTGTGCATCTAGATTTGTATTAACTGTGGCTTTGCTGTTACACACATACCATCATTTCCACGCTCCCTGCTGCCACGTCTTTGGGTTTTGCATCTTTGGTTCCGATGTAGGAGCCGATGGTATCACATGACCAAGGAGAATATTGGCTATAATCATTTGCTTTGTACTTCCCAGCTACCTTGAATTCTTCGTCCAAAAACTATAGATGGAAAGAAATGGGTCTATGAGTTAACAAAACAGAGAAAGCAGGGAACTTCTTAGAACATCATGCTGAAGCAATGTAATGATAAGTTATATGACTAGGTAATAGAATAGATTCTTATAGACTGAAAAATGTGATGATTATTGTAGCCTTCATGTTTGTTATTGGCAGTAAAAAAGGAAGTATTTCAATATCCTTCAGTGAGTCAAGCTAGAATCTTAAGATGTTTGCTCAGCATTTTATTCACAATATTAGACAAAGTCAACATCTCAGTAAGTATATACCATGCCACACATTTGCTAGATTGTCCCCAATGCGCCTTAGGAACTAACAGCTGAGATAAACGAGAACATCCTAAGCATCTCAGATGCTCTATGATGGTGATGCAATAACACTTTCCTGAAGATTCTTCAATACCAGTGTTTCCTGTTTTGAATGCACTCTGGCCCTGTGGTTGATTAAATTAAAGGGCAAGATGCCTCATTCAAGACAGAAGTACTGTGGTTATCTAATAACAACCCATTCTAAGGCCAATTGCAACATTTACCATTCTATAATGCTTTTATATATACTACCTCATGTAGAACAGATAATTTTTAAAAACATATTTAAAAAACTATGTTCTTCCAGCTGAATGTTATCTATCATGCAGCTACAGAAGAGAATGAGGTTAAGTACACATCAGTATGAACATCCAAGTTAAGCAAAGGGGAAAAAAATCCACAAAACAAACACACACTAAATGTGTTCATATACATAAAAAAGTTGAAATACAAGGTCAGTCGTTATGAGAAATGGGAGTTTGAAGAAAGCATTCTTTCAATGTCATGCATTTCTGTAATGTATGAATTTAGTACAATTATATATAGACAGCTTATTATCAGAATGAAAGTTTAAATATAGAGCTAGCCAGGCATTGTGATGCATGCTGTTAATTCCAGCACTCTGGAAAGTTAACTATGAACTTCTACTTAGATTATCTTCATACAGCAAAGAAATGACTATTTGCTGTATACAAATAATAACCTTCACTTTACTGTATTTTGAAATGGAATCTTGCTACATGTAGCCCAGAGTGTTTTCTGATACTCTTGCTCCAACTTCTTAAGTGGGGAGATTACAGGCATGTACCACCACACCCAGCTTTCACTTTCCAACTTGCACTGTTTATTATGTTTGGTTTGTCCATTAGTAATATTGATTAGACTCAGAATTCTAAGTATAAAGAATGTTTGTTTGTTTGTTTTTCAAGACAGGATTTCTCTTTGTAACAGCCGTAGCTGTTCTGGATAGCCCTTTGTAGACCAGATTGGCCTCGAACTCACAGAGATGCGACTGCCATCTCCTCTGTCTCCCAAGTGCACCACCATGTCTGTCATAAAACATTCTTTACATGTATTATTTGACTTGAAAAAAAATCTGTACTCCAACTAGATTCATTATGTTCATTATGAATTAAAGTATGAGTCAAGGTATCAAGTGTCCCAGAGTGACTTCAAACTTGTTATCTAGTCAAGGATGACCTATAACTTGATCCTCTTGTCTCATTCCCCAATTTACAAGGTGTTATGGAGTGAACCCAAAGATCTATGCATGCTAGGCAAATACTCTACCAATGTAACTACATTCTTAGCTTAAGTTGTCTAATTAAAAGACATAAAAATGATAAATTACTAGCAAGACTAAGCAATGAAAAATTATAGTATCACAAATGGATAAATGAGGACAATACACATTCATGACAGCTATAAGCAATGTTTTGCTGGGTAGAACTGTTTATGCCTGTAACCCCAGCACTTGAAAGGCCGAGGCAGAAGACTCCTTTTGAGTGTGAGGCCATCTTGAGCTACAAAGTGAATTTAAGGTGAACCCAGGCTACAGGTTCCTGCTTTGGCAGCCATGACAGGCTGCAGAAAAGACCCAGCAAGATAAAGGTCCCTGACTCAGAAGTATGTTCTGAGCTCCCAGCCTTATGGTGCATAACCAAGAACACCCCCCCCCCCTGAAGTTTTACTGTGTATCCTCATTTGAACATCTTTCCTTTTTTAAAAACCCACACTGTTGCTTTATTACTGGATTAAAATACATCTTAATTTCTGTCTCAATTGTTTAAAAATTATGGCAATAAGATTCTTGTTTGTTTTTCTGGTTTTTCAGGAAAGGATTTTTCTGTGTAACAGCCCTGGTTGTTCTAAAACTTGCTCTGTAGATCAGGTTGGCCTTGAACTCAGAGAGATCTGCCTGCCTTTGCCTCCCTGGTTCTGGGATTAAAGGTATGTACCACCACTACCAGTTAAGGAACAGACTTCTAATCTGAAAAGTTTCTTTTGTTGTTTTTAAATCAAAACCACTAATGTAAAAACCATGATGATGAATGACCACAAGTTTTCTCTACACAAAGACTAGCACCGCTCTTATTCAATATCATACTGTAGAGCAACAATACTGAAGAGGAAAAAGGAAAATTAGGACACAATCAATATTTAAATTAAGAAGGAAATTTAGCAAACCTGTTGAATGAAAGAATTAGTAAACAAAAATCTAATTCTTTTAAAAAGGTATTACATTCATGTACACACTTAATGCCTATTTCTTTTCAATAAAAAACAGAAATTGAGGGTTAGCAAGATGGCAAAGCAGGTTAAGCCTGATGACTTGAGTATGGTCCCCAGGACCCACAGTAGAAAGAAAACCAATTCCTAACAATCGTTCTCTGACTTCTAGACATACTTCTCCAGCCCCCAAATAAATATATACTTAAAAAAATGAATTTTCAAAAAGAATTACAATTCAATTAGTTTTTAAAAGTCAGATATATGGCCGGGAAATGGTGGTAAATGCCTTTTAATCATAGCACTTCGGGAGACAGAGGCAGGTGGATATCTGTGAGTTCAAGGCCAGTCTGGTTTATAGATCGAGTTACAGACCAGGGTCCAAAGCTACACAGAGAAACCCTGTCTCAAAACGAAACAAAAGAAGTCAGTTATGCAAATAATTTAAGGGTACATCATGGTGATAGAAAGGTGTCGTTTCTCTGAATACTGACCTAGAGCAACACTGTCTAACAGAAATAAAATGTGGTCCATATATGTAATTAAAAATTTTCTAGCAGAAGAAGAAAGAAGAAAGAAGAAGAAAGAAGAGGAGGAGGAGCAGGAGCAGGAGGAGCAGGAGGAGCAGGAGGAGCAGGAGGAGGAGGAGCAGGAGGAGGAGGAGCAGGAGGAGGAGGAGGAGGTGGTGTTGTACAGAAAGAATGACCAAGGTCTATAATGCCAAGACTTGAGAAGCTGTAGCAGGACTGCCATGAGTTTGAGGTCAGTCTCAGCTGGTCTAACTCGCACAAGACCCCATCATCTCCAAAAACAAGTCAGCAAGCAAGCAAACAAGTTAAAAAAAAAAACTTAGTGAAATTTAATCTGTCATATCTAGGATGTTAAAAATATTAACAAAGACCAGGTTTGGTCATGCTGTTAACCTAAGCACTCAAGAGACAGACAAAGGTGGATTTCTACAAATTCTGGCCAATCTGGTCAGTTTCAGGCCAGCCAGGAGCTGTATAGTGAGACCTTATATATCAAAAAGCAAAACAAAACAAAAGAATTAGTGCAAGATTCTAGTTTTCGGGACTGAATCTTTGGACCTAGTGTGTGTTTTATGTGTTCAGAGACTTTGTGTATGTTTTATGTTTTCAGCACATCACATCTGAGTCTGAATCAGCCACATACTATGGACTTAACAACCACATGTGGCTAGTGACGACCATATTGCCCAGCATCGATGCATCCAGAGTCAATAAATCCTCATAAAAAACAGAAGCAGATGTTTATGGAAATCAATATGCTGATTCTTTTGTGGGTTTCTGTTTTGCTTTAAAGGTGGGGGGAACTAAACCCTAGGCCTCACACATGTTGGCCAAACAACATTAAAATTGAACTAACTACCCCCCAACTCTCAATGTATTTACTTTTGAATTAATATTGGAAATCCTATACTGGTAAATCAAGAATTAAAACGACATCAATAAAATGAGGGGTCAGCCAGAGGCTCAAGTGAAGAACTCGGTGCAGATCTAATGACCTGAGTTTGGTTCCTTGGAACCAAAGAACTGACTCCTACAAGCCATCTTCTCATTTTCACACATCCCACTCCTCTCAACCCCCAACAGACACAAAATGAATGAATAAATAAATGCAGTACTGGTCTAAGGACAGAACTAGATCAATGAGACAGAGCTATTCTCCATGTAGACCAGGCTGGCCTTAAAAATATAACTCTTATGCTTCAGTATTCTACTGTGCTAGAATGACAGATATGTGCCATTACACTGGGTCTAATAAAGTAATCGTACAAAGCTGACTGCAGAACACAGAAAATAACAACTCTCAAATCATTAAATGGTATAGGGTCAATGACCTACCCCTACAGAGGAAAAATGGATCTTGATTCTAACATATCACATAAAATTCAATTCTAAATGGGTTATGGATCTAAATGTAAAATAAAACAATAATCTCTGGAAGAAAAAAGAAAGTAGCCTCATAATTTTGAAACTCCATAAATATCTCCTCAGGAACAGATTCATTCTTTCTCCCTTTCCTTCCTTCCTTCCTTCTTTCTTTTCTTCAAGACAGGATTTCTCTGTATAGTCCTGGCCATCCTGGAACTCACTCTCTAGACCAGGTTGGTCTCAAACTCAGAGATCTGCCTGCCTCTGCCTCCTGGTATTGAAGGTATGCACCACCACCACCCACTCTTGTCTCATAATTTCTTTAACAGGCTACAAAAGATGATAAAGATAAAAATTAGTAAGGAGGATTAAAGATGATTTGCTTACTTCCTCTTGATGGAATGCAGGAGGCAATGTTGGTGAAGGCGCAAAAGGAGGTGGAGAGATAACCTTTCTTTCCTCGAGTTGGGCCATTATTTCCTTCCGTCTACGATGTAGCTCATCCAGACTAGGATGGGGTTGGGAAGGAGGAAGTCGACTATAAGGAGGCTCCTGAAAATTGAAAGATTGTTTAAAATTGACAAATTATTCCAGCACATATTAAGTATATGTATTTAAAAATCAGAAGAAGAATATATGTTCATCTTAACATCCAGAAATATCAACACTAAAGAAAATAAAGAAAAACAAAAGAAAGTCAACTCAAATTTTCAAGATCTTCCAATCTAGACACAAACTAACAATGTTTAGACTCATGAAACTTCCATTTATGTTTTAGGACCAGGGAGATGGCCCAACAGGTAAAAAGAAAGCACTAGCTGTTCAAGACTCCAGGTTTGATGGGGTGGGGCACACATGTAATCCCAGTCTGCTATGCTGAGCCGCAGCAAGAACAAGAGAGACCCTACAAACAAGGTGGAAAGTAAGAACTTCCTCACAAGAGCTGTCCTCTGACCCAAGTCTGTATTGACATGTGCCTGTGTTCTCTCTTTTTCACACACATTATACATACATATACAAAAAAATAAAAAGTTTCTAAAAATTAAGACATAGATGTTTTGGGGGCTGGAGAGGTAGCCAGAGGTTAAGAGCTCTGGCTCCTCTTAGAGAAGTCCCGAGTTCAATTCCAAGCAACTATATAGTGGCTCACACAACCATCTATAATTGAGATAGGGTCCCCTCTTCTGGACTATAGGTGGAACAATGGATACATAATAAATACATCATTTTTAAAAAGAAATAAATAAAAGATGTTTTCATATAAAAAGCAAAAGGTTATTACTATAGCAAAATGTGAATTCTCAAAAATATAAAGTTTATGTAATAAGTAAAAAAAAAAAAATACAGCATACCCTGGGATATGAAGGTCTGATCTGAGCTGGATGAGGAGCCACTGGATAATAACCTTCTACCTGTTGGTATCGTTCTCGGGACTCGGGCACATAGGATGGTACTGCTGCAGATGGAATCTCAATGGGTATAGGGCTTTCCCGGAAAATCTCCTCTCTTGTATAAGACTGAGCAGGGTATACACGACGGCCATCATAGTGAGGTGGGTACATAGGTGGGTACTGTTGTGGCTGTGTACCATACTGAGAGTTTATGACACGATCTTGGAGGTAAGGAGGATAGTGATCCAAGTATGGAGGACCAGGTTCAGGAGCAGATGGTGGAGGTCGTACAAAGCGGGACACACATGGTGGTGGTGGATAGTACATACCTGTACAATACAAAAGAGGAATCTCAAACAACAGTGAGCACATCTGCTTAAGGGTTATTATCTACTCATTTCTTTATAAGCTTACTTGTATACTTAGGTTAGCTTTATGAAAATTAGCAAGCAAATACTATCCTTAGGATCAGGAGCACAGCTCAGTGGTAGTGTTTGCTTGGAACTGGCAAGATCCTGAGTTCAATTCCAGAGAAACCTCTTCTTCTTCTAAATAACTATTGAAAATAAACAGAAAAGCAATCTACATATCATCTAAAATAGTAAATTGATCCCTTCTTTCTGGTTTGTCCTAATGCAATACAATCACTGGAAATCTTTTTAATTTTTTTAAGACTTATTTATTATGCACACACTGTTCTGCCTGCATGTCAGAAAAGGGCACCAGATCTAATCATGGATGGTTGCTGGGAATTGAACTCAGAACCTCTGGAAGAGCAGTCAGTGATCTCTGAGCCATCTCTCCAGCCCTGGAAATTTTTCTAAAAGTACATTTCACAAGCATCCTTAATGCTCAGGTTCTACTTTAGATTTTTATATTCAAGACTTCACGCATACTGGTCAAACACTATTACTGCGCTAGATTCTTAGCACCGAACTCACTCTGTAGCCCAAGCATGTCTAGAACTTGAGCTCTTCCAGCCTCAGGCTCCTCAGTAGCTGGAATTAATAGGCCTGCTCTACCAGGCCCTGCTACTGTAGAGTTACAACTTAAAACTATTATGTACTAGATGTGATATGCCACAGATCTACTGTTCATAACAGCACAAGCTCCAGCTGGAAACAAAGAAGTTTCAGCATAGAGGAGGGAAGGTGGACATGCAACCCTACCACTAGCTGAGGAATTATTAGCATTTGACAGCTGCTGAGAGAGGGAGAGTCAGTTTTCCTTTTGATGTGACCCCAGGTAGGCTGACTACTACCAAGCAGGTCCCATTCCCAAGATTAGCTGAGCAATAACCTGAACTTGATGGGAAAAGACAATAAACAATATAGAGGCAAACACAAAGTTTTGGATAAGAAGGGATGGGAGGGTGATAAGGGGAAGTACTGACAGACTTATGTTCAACACATTGCATAGAACTCTACCTAGTTTTTAAAAAAAGGTCCACTTAGCTGTATACGTCTGGTGGTTCCTCTGAATCCTAGAGTTCTTGAGACAACTGTGGTGGTAGACTTTCACCTGGCACCACCAGTTAAGACCAGTTTTATTTCTTCTCTCCATACCAGCTATGCAGTGCTTTTCTAGCATTCACTTTCTAAAGACCTACTTTAAGCTTGCTCCCCTAGTACTTCCACCAATATGGTTATGTTTAATATAGCTACAATGATTTTTGTTTTCTGTAACTGAACCCTTCAGGATACAATATAACACTATACACTGAATGCCTGAAGAAAAACAGTTACAATTTTTCAGAAGATAAAAATCAAATCAGATTATTTTATAACTACTATCAGTCATGTTCTATCAATCAAAATCTATTCTTATACTGGATACCTGCAATCCCAGCACTAAAGAGGGTGAGGCAAAAGGATCCTCATGGTTCAAACTCACAGAGATCCACCTGCCTCTGCCTCCCAAGTGCTAGGGGATTAAAGGTGTGGGCCACCACCACTTGGTATACACACTGCAAGCAATTCTGTCTCAAAAAACAAAAATCAAAACAAAACCCCAAAAAACAAAAAAACCAAGCAATCAATAAACAAGCAATAACAAAACCATAAAAATTCACATGTAGTGATGACATGTGCCCCAAAGGTGAAACCCTACAGGAAAAAGAAGACAGGAAAGATACTTTATTGCCATTAAGAAGAAACAAAACCTCTGTCATAGACAGAGGCAATGCTGTAGTCTGAAATTTTAGCATTCCCTTTAATCTTTTCTGCCTCTGCCCCCAGTGCTGGGATCAAAGGCATGCATGCACCAACACACTGAGCTATTCTTTACTATGAGGCTGACTCTATACTACAGAACTTGAGAGCAGTGGTTCTCACCCTTCCTAATGCTGCAATCCTTTAATACAGTTCCTCGTGTTGTAGTGACCCCAACCATAAAATTTTTTCACTGTTACTATATAACTAATTTTGCTTCATTTATGAATCGTAAAGTAAATCTTTTTGGAGGCAGAAGTTTGCCAAAGGGGTCGAGGTTGCAGAATTTTTTCATATATATTACAAGGCCGATAATGATAAATGAAAGAAAGGAAACTAGTAGCTAGTCTGAACATCAACTTGACACACAAACTAAAGGCATCTGAAAGAAGGTTCGGAACATTATTTGAAAAAATGTACCATTAAATGGAACTGTAAAGCATTTTCTTTCCTTTTTCTTTTTGGTTTTTCAAAGCAGGCTTTCATTGCATAATAACCTTGGCTGTCCCAGAACACACACTGCAGATGAGGCTGGCCTCAAACTCAAAGAGATTCATCTGCCTCTTCCTCCTAAGTGCTGTGATGAAAGGCATGCAACAGCATGCCTGGCTGTAAGGCATTTTCTTAATTAGTAATCAATGGGGGGAGGGTCCAGTCCATTGTGGGTGATTCTATCCCAGGACTGGTGTTCCTGGGTTCTATTAAAAAACAAAAAACAAGCCGGGCATTGGTGGCGCACGCCTTTAATCCCAGCAGTTGGGAGGCAGAGGCAGGTGGATCTCTGTGAGTTCGAGGCCAGGCTGGTCTACAGAGTGAGTTCCAGGACAGCCTCCAAAACAATACAGAAAAACCCTCTCAAAAAAACCAAGAAAAAAAAAAAAAACAAAAACACCAAAAAACAAAAAACAGGTTGAGGAAACCTTAGGGAGCAAGCCAGTAAGTAGCACCCCTGCAAGGCCACTGCATCAACTCCTGTCTCCTGACCTGTTTTTCCTGTCCTGACTTCTTTCAGTGATGATCATCAATGTGGAAGAGTAAGCCAAATAAACCCTTTCCTTCCCACCTTGCTTTTTTGGTCATGGTGTTTATAACCCTAACTAAGACAGAAACCATAATGTAAATTTAGTTTACATTCACTACATATATCTTTTTCATTCTTGGTCACGCTTACTCAATATACTTGCTTGGTAAATGTTAGTCAGTCTATAAAACTGATAGATTTATCCTTTTTACCTATCTGATAAATCTGAGTGAGTACATTACCCTGCTGATAAGGTGCTGGCTCAAATGCTGGGGCAGTTCCTCGAGGATCCTGATAATAAACATCCGCTTGTTGTGGTGGATACAACTGAGAACCTCGAGGTACCATCTGAATTGGTTTGGTAACAGGCATGGGAGGCAGATCTGTTGGTCCCCTTGGAGGTACAGGATGTGGATTCACGGGTAAGGCAGAAATACTCTTAGGGGTAGATTCCAGCCTAAGGAAACAAAATTATATAAGACAAAAGTCTCTAAAATATACTTTTAATGTACATTAAATGTTTCACATAAAAAGACTGCCAGTATTTGGAAAACTGATATACTCAAATGTTAATCTCTCCAACATATTAAAAAAAATTAACTCTCCTTTAAAAAAATCACTAGTGCAGGAAAAAGAAGTAAAAGGCAACAAAGGCAAAAATAATGGGGGGGGGGGGGTATCAGGGATAGGCAGATCTCTGTGAATTGCAGGCCAGCCTGGTCTACTAAGCAAGTTCTGAGACAGTCTCCAATGCTACAGAGAAACTCTGTCTCAAAAACAAAACAAGCATATGCATATTTTGGGGCCGGGATGTAGCTCAGTTGTTGGGTTCATTCCCCATCACAACATAACTGCACATGATGCTTCATGCCTGCAATCCCAGTACCTAGGAGCTGGAGAATCAGAATTTTTTGGGGGATTCATTTTCCTAACAAACATTTGTCGATTTATTACTTTTGTTTGCTTGTTTGGGCTTTTCGAGACAGGGTTTCTCTGCATTGTTTGGAGGCTGTCCTGGAACTTGCTCTGTAGCCCAGGCTGGTCTTGAACTCACAGAGATCCGCCTGCCTCTGCTTCCCGAGTGCTGGGATTAAAGGCGTGCGCCACCAACGCCCGGTGATAATCTTAAACTCCTAATTGTGATGTTTCTATGAAGTGAGTTAAAGGACAGACTTTGACTTAAAACAGAAGAAAACACAACAAACCAAATAAGCACTCTCTCTAGAATTGGACATTTCTTTTACCTCTACTCAGTTTACAAGGAAGAACCGTGAAGACTTACAGGTCAGGAGGGGACCCAGGAGCACTGCTGCTCAGGTGGTCCAGCTTCCCTGGCTTCAGACTAGAATCATAGCTGGGGTCTGTCCCACGTGGAATCAGCTGTGTCACTGTGCCCCCTGTCGATACAATTCCATTTGGTAGTGCAGGAGGTTTCCTGCTGGACAAGTCCACTGCACTTTCATCGGGAAGTATAGGTGTTGAAGGCAGGCCCACCTCATTAAGTTGACCCAAAGAGGCACTCAGAGGTCTTCTGGGAACCAGACGTTTGTTCATTTTACGAAATCTGTATGAAAAGCAAATGTTTGAAATAAAATATATTGTGCACTTAGTAAAAATCAGTTAAAATTGTTAATAAGTAATAGAACTTAGTGTGGAAATGACCCATTTTGATATCTAGTTGATAAAACATAGTTTCCAAATAAAGCAATAAAAACTACAAAAAAATTTTAAGAAATATACTTAATTTGTCAGATAGTGGTGGTGCATGCCTTTAATCCCAGCACTCAGGAAGCAGAAGCAGGTAGATCTTGGAGTTCGAGGACAGCCTGGCAGCCTGGTCTACTGAGCGAGTTCCAGGACAGGCTCTAGAGCTACACAGAGAAACCCTGTCTCAACCACCCCCCAAATTTTAGAGAGGGAGAGAGAGAGAGAGAGAGAGAGAGAGAGTATGTGTGTATTTTCATACAGGTTTCTTATGCATTGTATCCTTATTCCTTATCCCAAAGTATGTGTCCCATGGTCTTCATACTTACTTTTCCAGTTCTTCTTGTGAGTGTGCAAATGTACAGCTGGCCCCACGAGGGCATCCTCCCCTCTGCTTCATATCTCGACACATGTATGTTTTGTATTTGCTATGCTGTGGAGGCTGAGACCAAGACCAAAACATCAGAAGACATAAAACAAAATACACAATAACAAACATAAATTTTATGTTAAAAGGTTAGAATTCTGATAATACAAAAGAATTTAAGCTAATTCCCACATTTATCTAAACTACCCAGAGCAAAAGTATTGGGGAAGGAAATCACAGAGTTCCAAATTAAAATTTAATTATTTATTCTTTGTGTGTGGGGGGTGTATAGTGGATGACAATGGAAGTCTGAGAACAATTTTGTGGAGATTCTTTCCTTATACTTTTACCTGGGTTCCAGGTATTGAACTTAGTTGCATAAAAGTCTTTGACCGCTGAGAGATCTTTTCAGGTTCAAATTTAAAATCAGAAAGTAGTAGAGGAGCTCAGAATTAAGTCTGTTTTTCAATTCCCAGTGCCCACATGACAGCTCACAACCATCTAGAACTCCAGTTCCAGGGAATTAAAAATCAGGCATCCTCTTCTGGCCTCCACAGGTACCAAGCACATACATGTACATGCAGACAAAATACCCATACACATTGAAAATAAAAGTGCTTCTATTAAAAGAGCAGGCCTGAACTGGGGTTGGTGCAGCCCTCAGACTGCAACAGAGAAGTTTCTCTGTGCAGTGAAAGAGGTTGACACAGAAGCTCACAACTGCTCACAATGCAGAGAATAGTTGATTATGAAGTGCTCAGTTACAAACGAGTCAGGGTTACGTAACATGTGCACGTGCACGAGCACACACACCTTCACCAAGACTTAGAGATCATGGATTAGAGGTCTGGCAGAAAGACTGTACGAGACAAGACCAATGCACTCATGAACTCTTGTAGAGACAGTCAAGATTCTAGCATGCAAGGGGCTCATGCGCCCCTGACCCAACTGAGGAACTTTGAACAGTAGATGGCTTCTGAAGGAAGGAAGACTGAGGCATGTTGACCATGCTCCAGGAGCTGGCCTCACACTCAGAAGTATATAGACAGTACAAAATAGCACTTGATGAGTTATTAAATTTGGATGTTTGGTGAATCAGGGAGGAGTTAAGGAGAAAAGTTGGGGAATGAACATGATCACCATTGTGTGAACTTCTCAATGAGAAAGAAAAAAAGTTAGTCATTTTTTCTAACATGCTGATATTCATAAAGATATGATTCAGTGGTGAAGAAAATTTTATAGAGCTGGGGTTGAGTTCAGTTCCCTACACCCACATGGTGATTTACAGTCATCTATAACGAGTTCAAGGGGATCCAATGCTCTATTCTGACTTATGAGGGCACCAGGCCTATACATGGTGCAATATATACACAGAAAAAAACATACATACACATAAAATATCAAACATTTCTTTCTCAATAAATTTCAAGGTTCTCTTTTCATCCTTTAAAGAGTTTAAGACATTAAAACGTATATGCCAGACATTGTGGTACATACAGCAGTCCCAGCACTTAGGGGTAGAAGCAGCAATATCAAGGAGTTCAAAATCTTTCTCAACTATACAGTGAGTGGACCAGCTTGACTCCATCTTGTTACAAGGTCAAAATAAGTTCATTCCTATTTTCTATAAAACCTTGGTTTGACCATGCCTTGACCCATTTTCTGGAATTTGACAGGTTACACACCCTATATCCTGACCTCCACCCTGATAAGATGTTCTGCCAAATAATTTTGAGATGTTCTGCCAAGTTCCCACATAACTGAAAACCCCCCTGGCCTTGCCATTTGGGGGCAAATATAAACGCCACTTTAGGGAGATGGGCCTGTCTGACAAAAAATGAAGCTGGCATAATTTGACCAAAGAATTTAGTTAATGGTATTTACACTCATCCAGTGGGGTTAACAGCGAGCTACGTTAGACCATTTCACAAAAAATAAAACCAAGAAGACTTCCAAAATGTACACTCTTCCAACATCCTATCATATAACATGTAACTTCCTACTAACAAAAACCACAAAATCTGGACCAGTAAGAACGCTCAGTGGGTGATGCTGCCAAGTCTACCAACCCAAGTTTGATCTTTAGGATCCACAAGGTTGTCCTCACCTCCAAATGTATGCCCACACATATACACAAATAAGTGTAAAAATACTTTGTAAAATTAGAAGATGATTTGGCACACTAGTGTGATAAATATTCTAAGTACTAGCAGTATAGCATTGGTACGAAAAAAGTGACAAACTGACATGTAGTATGAGAGAGTAACCATTTTTAAATGGAATAAGCTTTATCACAGAATCTATTTTTATCCATGAAATATTGCTATATCTGATGTGAAATAACCCCAGAATACCATTAACAATTATTGTCAGATAAAATTATGTAAGAAAAAACAACACATTGTTAACCATGCTAACTTATAATCTCTACAGTCAAAGTCTTTTAAAAAAAGATAAAGTACTGGGGAGGGTCTAGGCCCTGCCCCAAATGATGTGACAGACTTTGATGATCCCCCATAGAAGTCCTTACCCTTTCTATGGAGCAAAAGAGGGATGGGATAGGGGTCAGTAGGGGGCACGGGAGGATGGAAGGGAGAGGGGACTGGGACTGATATATAAAATAAGATTGTTTCTAATTGAAATTAAAAAAGAACAAAATAATTTAGAAATTATTTTATATGTATGGGTGTTTTGCCGACATGTATGTCTGTGCACCAGTGCATGCCTGGTACTCACAGAAGCCAGAACTGGACATCTGAGTCCCTTGGAACTGTAGTTACAGGAGGCTGTGAACCACCATGTGGGTGCTGGGACTTGAACCTGAGTTCTCTGGAAAAGCAGCCAGTACCCTTAACCACTGAGCCTCTCTACAGCTCCTATGATTAAGAGTGTTAAAATAGTCACTATGATATCTACAGATTTCAAACAGCAACCCTTACCTGCTGTTGGTCTGCTCCTTTTTTGCTGTGATTCTGAATATAATCAACCAGCCCATGTACTACCGTACGTACAGCAACCAGGCCATTTTCTAGCTGTTCCCATGTTGGAGGAGGCGCATCTATAAAATTAAAAACAAAAAACTATAATCTATGCAGTGCTTTATCCAATATCAAACAAATGAAGGAAGTATTATCAGCACTTTCAATCAATCAAGTAATCATTATAGAGCTTTGAGACACTCCAAACCATCAGAGATGGTTAGTGGTATCAACCTAAAAGGAGCAGGAATCACCTGAGACATGGGTCTCTGGGTGTGCCTATGAGGGTGTGTTTTATGTTAACTTATGCAAAAAGACACACCTTTTTTTACTATGGCAAGACCATTTCCAAGGCAGATCATGGATTGTATAAATGATTGCGAATGTGATATGAACAGTTGCTTCAAGCTCCCACGGTCTTCATTTTTATGCCATAATAGCCTGTACCTTGAGTTGTAAGAGAAAATAAACCCTTTCTCTCTTAAACTGCCACCAAACACACAAATATAACATACTACACATGCTAACAAATACACAAAAGGAAGTGAGAAGACATTTTCATAGATGAATTCTACATATGACTACTGTTAATGGCATTTGAACTGGGTTTAAAACACAGAATCAGGTTTGAAAATAAAGGAAAAGCCAACAATCACAGAAAAAGATCACTTTTTGGACCACTAACCCTATCTGAAATATTATTATTCCAGGTGCTGGAGAGGTAATAGTAATCAAAATAAAGTTCCTGACTACACTCAAGGTAAAGATCTAGAAAATAAGACAAATGATAAAAATATGAGTACTTAGAAATGATGCGTTGAAAAAAAGAGCAAACCAGTGTGTGTAAACTTTAGACATAGGTCTCCTCGAAAACAAAGGTGAGGGATACAGAACAATGGTACAATGTTGTCTAACATGGTCCAAGGCCTTGTTTTCTACTCCTGAAGCTTTAAAAATAAAACAGAAAAAGAAAGTTAAATATGATTAAGACCCAAAAGGCAGGTTTTTAACATGTTCAGTAGATTATAAGGGAGAAAGACTCTGTGGCAAATTTAGAAGTAATGGAAGACAAGACCATGATCATAGATCACCTCAAATCCCCCTACATCACACAAAATATTTTACATTTTTATTCTGTGTGAAGGAAATATATTGCAAAATTTCTGAGCAGAGAAGTAACAGGATGAAGAATTGAAATCCCATGCAAAACAGGCAGTCAGTTCATAATCCACATGGAGAGATGAGACTTACAGTAGAGGTCAATGGATTATGAAAGAGCACAGGTAATGTGCTGATGAACTTGATATATATATATAATGAGAAAAAGAAGAGCAGTGTCTAAGGATTCTGGACCAATAAATGGAAGAATGTAGTAGCCACAACACAGTGCTGGGGAAATGGGTCTAGACCTAAAAGAACATCAATTAACACACGTGTCACTATATTTTGTGCCACCAAAAAGAGGGAAAAAGATGAATTTCTACCACTGTACAAAGTACAAATTTATTTCATTGTTTTAGACAAAAGTAAGCTAAAAAAACAAACTGACAAAGTAACAAAAAATTCTGACTGCACAATGGCTCACAACCATCTATAACTCCAATTCCAGGAACTCTGATGCCCACTTTTTTTTTCCCTCGAGACAGGGTTTCTCGGTATTGTTTTGGAGACTGTTGGTCCAGCCCAGCCTCGAACTCACAGAGATCCGCCTGCCTCTGCCTCCCGAGTGCTGGGATTAAAGGCGTGTGCCACCACCACCTGGCCTGACACCCACTTTTGACCACCAAAAATACCAGGCATGAAGACAGTCACATACATGTAAGCAAAACCCTAATACACAAAAAATAAAAATAAAAAAATAACTTTTAAAAAGATCCCAGTAGCCAGGAATTGGTGGTGCACACCTTTAATCCCAGCACTTAGGAGGCAGAGGCAGGCGAATCTCTGTGAGTTTGAGACCAGCCTGGTCTACAGAGCGAGTTCCAGGACAGCCTCCAAAACAATACTGAGAAACCCTGTCTGAAAAACCAAAGATGAACTCACTTTGAAACATGGAACAGATGATGTTGAGTATCAGGCAGCATTTGGGAAATGGTTCTGAAGTGATGACACTAGCATTAACAGAGCTCTTTGGAAATCTATTTTATACAGAGGTAACACTATGCGTAACAAATACAGGGGAAACATCTCCATGGGTAGGGTGGACTGATGCATAAAAATAAAGCGGCAGAAGCTTTTCTGTGTCAAAGAGGTATCCAATATTAGTAAGTGCTGAAAATATAGAAAGTAGTTTAAGTATTCGATGTCATCTCTGGAAACAGTGACAAGGAAACTAGATACTGTTCAGGTAATGGTTCATTGGGTACATTTTTAGGTCAAGGAGGGGTGAGAAAAGAATGCCCACGTAAAGGTATGAAAGAGAATAATTAGTGGAACAAGGTATTATGAGAAGATGAGATAATAGAGCTGCATCTAAAGGTAAGATGAGGAAACAAGTTGTGACAAAGATGTGACAAGGGTAAATAAAATACAGCATGCTGTGGCAAGATTATTATGAAGGAGAGATATTTTCTTAGTGAAGTAAACAGTAAAATATAAAGTACTGAATGAATTTTAGTTGAGGCAAATTAATGAGATAAAGAGAATATTATCTGAGACAAAAACCTAAAATACAGCTGAAAATATCTGGGAAAACTACTTTGGGAAACTTTAGAAGAATATAACACAAGTTAATTGAAGAATCACCAAGCAGTACTGAGGTACACATAAATAGTCCATTAATTTCTCTTAGCTTTACCTGGACTAGGGTCAATGTTTGCTAGTAGCTCCAAGTGGGGTCTTAGTCGGTTTAAGTTTGCTGGGTCTCCAGTCCGCTGGAGAGCGATAGTTAGCTCCTGAACACTCTGTGCAAAAGAGGCAGGGGTCTGCAACTTTAAAGAAAAAGGGAAACATTAATTTCCTATTTAAAACATCAATAATCTTTTGTTGTTGTTGTTGTTGTTTGTTTTTTACGAGACAGGGTTTCTCTGTATTGTTTTGGAGGCTGTCGGTCCAGCCCAGCCTGGAACTCACAGAGATCCGCCTGCCTCTGCCTCCCGAGTGCTGGGATTAAAGGCGTGCACCACCACCGCCCGGCAAAACATCAATAATCTTTTTAAAACATAGATTTTTTTCTTTCTTTCTTTTTTGAGACAGGATTTCTCTGTGGCTTTGGATGTTTTCCGGGAACTAGCTCTTGTAGACCAGACTGGTCTTGAACTCACAGAGATTTGCCTGCCTCTACCTCCCAAGTGCTGGCATTAAAGGCGTGCACCACCAATGCCCGGCTAAAACATAGTTTATTTACACCTCCATTTCTACAATTTATTAATCTTAGTTTGTGTCTATCCATCTAACCTATGTTTTGGCCAGACTGAATTACCTTCTACCTAAACAAGATCTTTCTCTTTACCCACAGCTCGGTACACGTTTCCTCTGCTAACACATAATTCAAATGTGAGGCTTTTCTTCCGATATCACCTTTTAGTTGCGTTCTTGGTAGTTCTTCCAAATACTGAAATTGGAAGTATAATCTAGAAATGATGTCAGATGATAGAATAATGCCAATGAGTACTCACAGTCATACTGAATGAGTTCAAAATTCCTAAGACCAAAGATCATGACATTAAATATATAAACCGTACAAACTTAAGTTTCATCTATTAAATAGTCCAAATAATTTTAAATGTCTAGGATAACTGAAAACAAAATCCTGTTATGCTTTGATTGCAGGACACAGAGAAATCAAACTGGAACTGACATGGCTCCCTCCTCCCCCCTGGCTAGCTGTCATAGTGCTATATAGCTCTATGCTGGCTGCTGGGGTTGACAATCAGCAATACTCTCAACCAGCAGTGGACCCTGCATGCTAACCTGTAAGCCATGGCCAAGGAGGCCATAGGCCCTATGGGTGAACCTACTCTTGTTTTTGCTAGATGGGTATGTCACCAAACTGCCTTACTATTTTTGTTTATACCTACATATCAATGAATACTTTTCTCAACCTTGCTCAGATGTTCCTTTCTGCGTGGCCACCAGTTAGCTTAGAGATTCATAACTGGTCAAAAGTTCTATTCAGACCTAAATGGCACATCTCTATCACACCACCAAGACTGAGGAAATATCAGTCTCTGAGGAAAAAGGGATGTAAAGACTGTAAAAGCTGGAGGATGGGAAGAAGAACAGTAAACTGTCTTCTAGACATGGCATAGCTGTTATATTCATGAATTCATGGCAGCTATGGTTCCCTGCACAAAGATCAAGCTAGTCATCTAGCATGTCAGGGAGACTCAGGAGGCTCCACCCTAGCTGAGAGGTTTTTGCCAGTTGATGGTTGCTAGAGAAGAGAGGGTTGCCTAGTGTGGCCTAGTGGGTTGCCCATGTTCCTGTGGATGACTCCATGCTCATGTGCATACAGGTGGGTTAATGTGGAAAAAAAGAGAGAATGTAAGAAAACATCATCTTGGGGGGGGGTAGATATGATCAAGGAAGAAATGATCAAAGAATGAAATTTGCAAAAAAAATTCTGATTTAGTTTGGGATTCTTGAAGGTTGTGTATGTCTCTAAAACTTTTGAGATATATTCTCACACAAACTCCCCTCTGCTCATCATGAATATAGGCCTTTCAAGTGGGAAAATGCTGATTTTGTAACAGTAACTATGAGTTCTTACTTGAAAACATTTAGTGTGGTGATATATTAACATTACTTATGACTTAATAAAGATTGCCTGAAGTATGAGAAATCAAAGCCAGCCACACTAGTTAGCTATAGAAGCTAGGCAGTGGTGGCACACACCTGTAATTCCAGGACTCAAGAGACCAGAAGGATCTGAGTTCAAGGTTACTCTACACAAGAGTGAAGAGTAACAGAGCTCACACCTCTGATCACACCTTTAATCCCAGCACAAGGAAGGTAGAGACAGGAGGATATGGTTTGGTGGAGAAAGGAATATAAGCAGGAAAAGACAGGAATTGAGAGTGTTTGTCTCTGAGGATTCAGAGAGACAGGACTGCCGTTTCAGCTGGGTAGAGAGAGGTAAGATCTACTGGCTTAGCTGCTTTCCTATTTCACCTTCAGCTTCAAGCTTGAATCCCAATATCTGTCCCTGGGTCTTTAATTTTTCATGTTACAATTTAGCTCCTTTGGCAGCTAATTCCTCTCTCAAAAGGTCATTATGTAAAAGGTCATTTCAAAAGCAAACATTTAAAAAAAAAAGGAATTAACAAACTACCATTAGTAACAGGCCTGAGAGTACAGGCTTTTTAAACACATTTGAATAAACATTTTACCTTGCCTATCTACGGCACCTGATTAGTTTAATAAAGAGCAGATGGATAGAAATAGATAGATAGGTTAGGCGGGAACTTGGATTGAATCTAGGCCCGAAGAGATGACAGTGAGACAAGGAGGCGAACATACAGAATGGAGGAAAGGCAGACAGAATGTGGACTGATAGAAGCAGGTTAATTTAAATTATAAGAACTAGCTGGGTACAATACAAGCCCAAGCTAAAGGTCAAGCTTTCATAATTAATTATAAGTGTGTCATTACTGTGAAGCTGGTGGTCCCAAAAATGCTGTGGAGCAATCTTTGTATACAATAAATATGTAGTATACTCACTGGTTAATAAAGAACTGACTGGCAGGAAGAAACTGGGGTGGAGAGATACGAAGAGCTTAGTTATTTCTTATAGATAAGAAATATGAACTTAGATTTGTGGGTTAATTTAGGTTGTAAGAGCTAGTTAGTTACAAGCCTAGGCTATCGACAGAGCATTTATAATTAAGTCTCTGTGTGGCTATTTGTGAGTTAGCCAGTGGTCCCAATGAAAAATTCTGCCTATACAAAAGAAAGTCCAACTACACAGCCCCAAATATGTCCTGTAAAGACTGTACAAATAAAATTTTTACAGTGTTTAAAACAAACAAACAAACAAACAAAAAAATTAGTAGTGGTGCACACCTTCGACCCCAGCACTTGTGAGGCAGAGGCAGGTAGGATCTCTGTGAGTTCAAGTCCAGCCTGGTCTACAGTACTAGTTCTAGGACAGCCAGGGCTACACAGCAGAGAAACTCTGTCATGAAAAAACAACTAAGTTTCAGTTCAATGTGGGAGGCCATGGGGAGTATAGAGCAAGTGACAACAAATATTTAACAGGTCTACCCACCAGACAAATAACTCTCTAATGGGGGCCCCCACTTGGCAAGGTCCATAGGTAGGGTCACTGACTGTGAATGACTGTTTCTGTCTGTAGTTTTTCTCATGTGCCACTACGGGTATTTTTCCCAGGGCCTGTGTGTTTATCTCATTTAAATATTCCATTTACTGGGCATACGATAGCTGTGGATGGGTCAGGAAAATGATTTCTGCTTAAGCTGTATAATTCTGATGAATAGAATGGTAGGATTTTTTTCATTACTCAGAATGACAGGAAAATTCTCAGCTACAAAGACAGCCTTTTACACATTCAGCTGACTTCAGATGTTAGAGCACATTCAAAATAGACTGGTTCCCTCTGGAGATGAACACACAAAGCAAGTTCCCAGGTGCTTATTATTTCTGAACCAAGGTAAGGCATAAACAAACTTTGGTAGACATACCTCCCTGCAGTAAAGGACTTTCTGAACATACTCCTAACCTCAAGGATCAGTCAAATGTTTATTGTTTAAGTCCTGAATTTTCTGTTTGGGAACTCAGACCACTTAGACTTATGTGTACAGCTAAGCATTACTCACTGGCTAGTCAGTGTGACATCCCTTGCCTGAGACAAACTGTGTGATCAGTATGGCTCTGTTCCTTATTATTTTACTTTAAGAAGTGTTGTGTGGTTCATATTTGTTCAGAGGCTTTGCTGTAGTAGTAGTAGAAATGTGAGAAGATGGAGAGAGAAGGAGGTGAGTGAATGAGAGCTACACAGAGATGCAGCAGGTATCTGAAGAAATGTAACAGAGAGAAGTGTTCACAGAAGATAGGTGTGAAGACAAGGGATGTGGCTGTATGTAAAGAAATGTAACTGTAAAGAAACTATTCAAGATGAAGTAAAAGAGAAAGTTACCATCAGAAAGTGTGTGTTTCCTTATTTATCCTAAGATAGAAAATCTAGCCCCTCAAATAGAAAAGAAGCTTTTGTAAGTCCTGCTGTTTTAAAGGCATTCTTTCTGCAACACTGGTGCAGTTCTGGGAGCTGGTTTCCATGGGCTGAAGTAATTCAAGAGTTGCAAAAGTGCTCAGCAGAACTAGTATGCCTGAAGAAGCCTTTGGTTCAATCTTTGGAACAGAGAAAAACAAAAACACAAAACAATGCCACCACAAATAACTCTAAGAAATATATGCACAAAACAACCATAAAATGAAGCATCTTCACTTTGGATGATGCACTTTTCCATTGTGATGGAAGTTCTATACTTCCTATTGCTCAGTATAACTATAAAAGGCTCATACTTATTGCATATTTTACTTGTTTGTCACACAATAGTCTCTGGACATGAAACAAACTGTGATAAGAGAAAATTACCGTAGAATATGTATGTTAGTTACTGTATGAAGCTCATTTCTGGAATCTATAGAAAAATAAGCCAAATTTCTCTTCAGAGATAGAAAGCTCTTATGTTAAGATTAACAGGGTTTTACTAATTACAACTACAGGTACAAACTTTTGTTCATACCTGAGAGCTATGGTAATTAAGTTAAAAGTTGTGATGGCTATTCTTGGTTGTCAACTTGACTATCTGGAACAAAACCAAAAATGCAGGGCCCACCTGTGAGGGATTTTTGCTTAATCTGAAGCAGGAAGATCCACTTCTAGTCTGGATCTTTGAGGAGGAAGGACACACCTCTAATCTGAGCTACACCTTCTGCTGGTGATCTATATAAAGGACATGGAAGGAGGAAGTTTTTGCTTTTTGCCTGCTTGCTCTCTCCTTTGTAGCAAGTTCTTTCCTTCACTGGCATTAGAGCTTACTTTGGGATTCCAGCTATACTGAAGATCAGCTGAGACATCCAGCCTCATGGATTGAGCAACTACTGAATTCTTGAACTTTTCACTCACAGCCAGCCATTGTTGGATTAGCTGGACTTCATCCTAACAACCCCCCCTATAGATTTACTCTTAAATTATTAGCTTAGAGAATCCTAATATCAAGGAAGAGTTACAGACTGAAAGTTATAGAACAAGAAGAAAAACAAAACTCATTTCTCAATTCTCAATCAATATATTAGTTATTCAAAAAGTGTGATGCTTGGAGTCAAGGAAAGAGACAAAATCTAGGTAGACAAAGGTCTAATAATCAAGAATATTATAAAGCCAGCACACCATGGTTCAAATAACCTTTAACATTCTTTACTGTGGTGGTTTCAATAGGAATGGCCCTGAAAGGCTCACATATTTGAATCTTAGTCATTAGAGAATGGTACTACTTGACAGGGATTAGGAGGTATGGCCTTGTTTGCAGAAGTGTATCACTAGTGACAGGTATGGGGTTTCAGAAGCCCAAGCCAGGCCCAGTGGCTATTTCTCTTCCTGCTGCCTGCAGATTCAAATGTAGACTTTCAGCTACCATGTCTGCCTGTGTGCCACCATGCTTCCATCATAAGGATAATGGACAAAGCCTCTCAAATCAAAAGCCAGTCTGTGGTGATATATTGTTTATGATCTAATAAAGCCACTGAGAATCAAAATGCAAGACTAACCACAGCCACAGAGCTAGGCAGTGGTGATATACACCTTTAACCCCAGGACTCACGAGACAGAGGCAGATAGATCTCTCTGAGTTCAAGGCTACCCTGGCCTACAAGAGTGAATCAGTCTGAAGAGTAACAGAGTTTATGCCTTTAATCCCAGCACTTGGACAAGAGTTACATGGCTGGGCAGAGAGAGGAGTATAAGGCAAGAAAAGACAGGAACTCTGAGCATTGCACTCTGAAGATTCATGGAAACAGGATCATCCATTTTTGTCTAGGTAGAGGTAAAAAGCTATTGGCTTGGCTGCTTTGCTTCTCAGATCATCAGCTTGAACCCCAATATCTGCCTCTGGGTTTTTATTATTCGTGTTATGCCAGTCCCAATCAAATACTTTCCTTTGTAAGAGTTGCCATGGTCAGCCGGGTGGTGGTGGTGGCGCTGCCTTTAATGCCAGCACTCGGGAGGCAGAGGTAGGCAGATCTCTGTGAGTTCGAGACCAGCCTGATCTACAAGAGCTAGTTCCAGGACAGCCTCCAAAGCCACAGAGAGACATTGTCTTGAACCCCCCCCCAAAAGGAGTTGCCATGGTGCAATAGAACACTAGGACAATAATAACCTAGATGATTTGCAAAGTGTACAAACTTTTCTGATTATATATAGAAGGGAGAATACAAAGTTGTTCAAAGGAAATGAATTACTTAAGATCATCGAGGCACATAGCATTTGGTAAATACTAATTATTTTTAAAATACTCTTAGATTTTGATCCTATCTCTAAATGTTCTGTTGACTCTAGAGTTGACAAGTCATTTATGAAATTATAAGTATTAAAGAAAGTAGCAAAACTAAATACTAATATTTCTTAGTATATTACAACATAATATTACCCAGAATTTTAAGACTTTCTATACCCCATTCATACATTTTAGGTTGATATGCAACAACTCTTAAAACTATTAGTAAAATTTTAAGAGAAATACATATTTATGCATTAGATATAAATAATAAAGCTAGACCTAGCAGTTACTTCTAGTGGTCTCCACATCAAAACAGATAGTAGATAAAATAAAAACAGATTTACTGAAAATTTCAAACTCACCATATATATAAAATTATTCTAAGTATACATCAAGGTATACATCCAACAGATCACTGAATAAAAAGCTACTATGTAAGATCAGATAAAGGCATTTGGAAACAGAGCTTAGGGGCTGGAGAGAAGGTTCAACGGTTAAAAGTACTAGCAGCTTTCCCAGATATTCTTTGATTCCCAGCACCCACATGACAGCTCACAGCTATCTGTAACTCCAGTTCCAGGAAATCCAAAGTCCTCTTTTGCCTTCTTCAGGTACCAGTACCAGGTGAAGCACAGACATACATGTATGCAAACAGCAATACACATAAAAAATAAATCTATAAATACTCTCTAACTATTAAAGTGATCAAGAGTCAAAGAGAATGGTAGACAAAGGAGAGCAGCAATGACAAGCAGCATGGGAAAGCACTGGCTGAAGCACTGCAACAGTAACCCAGTGTTTACACATTGTCACTCTGATGGACTAGCTATGATACAATACTAAGCCACAATGAATCTCTGAATACAGAAGCCTAATATATACTATTCACATTAATATTCATTGGTTAAATAAAATAAATTACAAAATAATAACTTACCAAGACTCCTAAATTATTTAAGAAATAAGGAACAATAAAGACCCTGTCTTGTAGCCAGGTGGTGGTGACACATGCCTTTGAAAAAAGAAAAAGACCCTACCTTGTCAATAATGGATTGCATATGAGATTTGTGAGACTGGTCTCCATAAAGCAAAGAGGACCACTGGTCTGGTGCAATCCTTAAGCCTGCTTCCATAGCAATTTGCACTATCTGGGAGTCGTGTTCTCGTCGCAGAGCTTCATAAGTCCTAAATTCCTCTTTCAGCTGCATCAAAGAAGAATCTTCATCACGTTTGGTGACCTAAAAAGACACACAGAAGTCTACTAACAAAAACAAGTCTCATACTTTATATAAACACATGTAGACAAAAAAATAATTGTAACTTAAAAAAAAATACAATTCAGCTGGGTGTTGGTGGTACACACCTTTAATGCCAGCACTCAGGAGGCAGAGGCAGGCAGATCTCTGTGAGTTCGAGACCAGCCTGACCTCCAAAGCCACAGAGAAACCCTGTCTCGGGGAAAAAGAAAAACCAAACAATTTGTTTTGCGTGTCTTGGTAGGAGGTGCGCACGAATTGTTTGTGGCAGGCATACAGGAATCAGTTCTCTTCTTTAAGTGTGTGGGTCCCAAGCCTACCATTGAGCCATTGTCCCAACAAAAAAAAAAAAATTCAAAACAACTTTCTTTTAGCAGCAACAGCTGTATTTGTTTAACTCTGTGAAGTTGTGTTACTGTGCCTGTCTAAATCACCTGATAGTCTAATAAAAAGCTGAATGGCCAGTGGTGAGGTAGGAGCAAGGATAGGCAAGGCTGGAAGGCAGAGGGTACAAATAGAAGGACAAGAGAGCTGGGAATTGGTGACGCACACCTTTAATCCCAGCACTTGGGAGGCAGAGCCAGGCCAATCTCTGTGAGTTAGAGGCCAGCCTAGTCTACAGAGTGAGTTCCAGGACAGCCTCCAAAACAATACAGAGAAACCTTGGCTCAAAAATCAAAAAACAAGAGAGAGAGAGGGGGGGGGAGGGAGGGAGGGAGGGAGGGAGAAAAAAGGACAAGAGAACAAGGAGAGGAATGTCAGAGGGTAGCCACCCATCCACAGAGTAAGAGTGAAAGATTTACAGAAGCAAGAAAAGGTAAAAGGCCGGGTGTTGGTGGTGCATGCCTTCCTTTAACCCCAGCACTCGGGAGGCAGAGACAGGCGATCTCTGTGAGTTCAAGGCCAGACTGGTCTACAAGACCTAGTTCCAGGACAGCCTCTAAAGTCACAGAGCAACTAGAACCCCCACACACAAAACAACAAAAAGAAAAGGTAAAAGCCCAGAGGCAAAAGATACATGGGATAATTTAAGAAAGCTGGCTGGCAACAAGACAAACTAAGGCCACACATTCAACCCACTAGACTGGTGTGTAGTCAAGCTTGGGGTACATTATTTTGATCAATGATTGCCATGGAGAACCTAACTCACTGTGAACAGAGTCATCCCTGGGGCTGCTGGTCTTGGGTGCTATAAGGCAGCAAGCACTTCTCCATGGACTCTCCTTTAATTCCTGAATCACAGACTGTGGTATATAAATATTACGAAAAATAAACCCTTTCCTCCCAAGTTGCTTTTGGTCATTGTGTGTTATCATTGCCATAGAAACCCTAACTAAGACAGGGAAATAACAGATGATTACTCTCCATCTAAATGTAAGGGTTTGGGCTGTGTTTCAGTAACAGAGTACTGTCTAACATGTATGCAAGGCTCTGGGTTCAATCCCCACCAATGCAAACAGGCAAACTAAAAACAAAACCAAACAAATGAAATACAATAATATACTAGCATTTAACTAGATTATTATACAATCTGTCTTCTTTTACAAAGGGAAAAAATGCTGATATTTTCTGAAAAGCACAGAAAATTTTTATTAAAGCACAAGTTGAATATTTAAGTTTGGAGAAAGGGCACCATCCCAAGCTGAACTCCAGTTTAGGTTCATACCTTGAAGCAGGAGGCTCTGTAAAGGAGCTGAACAACATGTCCAATGCTGGTTTTCGAGGCTTGAGGAAAACGAGGCTCCAGTCTTTGCACCACAAAGAGAACCAATACTTTCCGTGACAAAGCAGAACCATCTTCCAAAGCCAGCAAGACAAGCTTTAGAGCTTCCTCCTGCATTGCTAGCAAAAATGATACAAATGTATTGTGAGCAAAGATGACATAAATCCATTATCAGAAGAGTAACATAATACCACGCAATTAACAAGCAATACAATGAGCCAGGCATGGGGTGCACATCTTCAATCCCAGCTTGAGGCCAGCTGAATCTACACACTGAGTTCAGGATATTCAGGGCTACACAGCAAAAGGCTGTCTCAAACAAAAACAACAAAAAGCCAAGCAACACATGTACTTAAAATTATATTTTTAAGCCATGTTTATGGGTAATTTCATCTTATTTATGTATTTTATTAAGTATATAAATGATTAATATAGATGAAAAACATTTCAAAATGAATAAATTTTTGTTATCTAGAGAAAAACATGTGAATTCTCTGAAAAATTGAATCAAGCCAGGATGATCAATGGAATGGTACTGATAACAGAATTTAACAAAGGATGAGGGTTTATACATTGCTTAAGGGTTTTTATCCTATACTGTTAGAATAACTTGTAAGGGTGGAGGTGGGCAGCCAACAGCAACAACCAAACTTTAATTACATACCTGGTCCAAGGAACTGGCAGCCCCTAGCTCTGACTGCTGCCCAGAGATTAGATGAGAGTTGCTGAGGATTTTGGTGCTGGAGGATGAGCTCTGTAACCGTGCGTTCACCTAAAGATCGAGCAGCCCTCATAGCACGGATCCTGCCTTCTTCTTCCACTAGCTGGCAGTGGACTAGAGTCACAAGCTTCCTCTGCATTGGGCGACTCAGAACACTCTGAGTAGTGCTGTTCAGACCCACTCCTGCAGAGGAGAACAAAGAAGCTATTTCTAGGTTTACTGGGCAATTTTACTATCCAGGAGCTCATCTAAAGTAGTTGACTTGTGGACATGTGACTAGGTCTGGGTCCTAGTAGAGTATTTAAAGTAAACAATAAGCCAACAGTTTGTGGTGTCTCATGTCTTTAATCCTAGCACTTAGGAAGCAGAGGCAATCTCTAAGTACTACGAGGCCAGTCTGGTCTACAGAGCAAGTTTCAAGGCAGCCAGGGCTACAGAAAGAAACCCAACTCTAACTAAACAAACAAACAAACAAATAAATAAATGCATAGTTAAGCTGTATAAAACTATCATTTAAAAGTATAACAAATGTATGTAGGTATCATTCATTATGACATTCAAAATACTATAACTCATTTTAACATAAAAGAAAAACTGACAGAAAGTATTAGAAATTAAATCAAGACCCAAATACTGATTCCTAACAGTCTGGTATATTATTTCATAGTGGTTAATCTTACTTAGTAGTTAAACATTAAGCAGGCCCTTTCTGGAAGGTAGTGACAACTTCCATTTTCTACAAATACAACCTAAAACTAGACAAAGATAGACTATTCAGAGTTACAGTTACCAGTAAGAGCTGGAGATGTAGTGGGCTTGATTCCCAGTACTCCATAAACTAGCAATCTCAGCACTTGGGAGATAGAAACAGGAGGATCAGAAGTTCAAAGTCATCCTTGGCTACAAAGTAACTTTAAAGTCAACGGGGCTAAATGAGACCCTCTCTACTGAGGGGGGTTGGGGGGAGGACTGTCAAAAGATGCAAAGTCCTTCTAAATCACTATATGTAGTCACTTCATAGCCATTCAAATTTCCAACATCACATAAACTCTAGATTTAGTACTACTTTATTTTATGTGGTTTATAATATTATTTAGCATGAAGTAAGTTTGGTTTGCAATGAATAAATAAATTTTCTTAGCATTGACTAGGTAGAATAGCTCAGTGGTAGAATACTTGCCTAGCACTTAAAACTAAGTAGGGAAAAGAGTTTAAGAGAAGAGGGAGTGAGGAAGAGAAGTGAGAAGTGAGGTTTTCACATATCAATATTCATTTATAACACACGATTTTTAGGGTAATACAAGTATCCTTAACAGATATTTGGTTAGGTGTGGTGAGGCAAAACTTTAATCTCAGCACTTGAGAAGCAGAGGCAGGTAGAACTCTGTGAAGGTTACCAGCCTGGTCTATATAGAGTCTTCCAGGCCAATCAGGGCTACATTGTGAGACCCTGTTTCAAAAAACAAACTGTTTAGCATGGTTTTTTTTGGGGGGGGGTTCCAAGACAGGGTTTCTCTGTGGCTTTGGAGGCTGTCCTGGAACTCACTTGGTAGTCCAGGCTGGCCTCGAACTCACAGAGATCCGCCTGCCTCTGCCTCCCAAGTGCTGGGATTAAAGGCGTGCGCCACCAACGCCCAGCTAGCATGGGTTTTATAATTACATTTACCTCTAGCACTGCTGAGCGGTTTCAGGTACAATGCTAATTCTTCTACACATTTCTTGGCTTCCTCATAATGCTTTGTATCTTCAACCCCACTACACAAAGTAATGGGCTGTTGCTCAGGGATCTGGAAGCCAAAAGAAAAGTTTTGAGTATTTCATTAATTTATTAAACGTTTTACTGAATAAGATTTATCTACCTATAGTCCTGGTGCTTGCATCATTAAAATGACTAAGCTTGCTAAATGCTTTCAAAATTTTTTCTTGTACATACATATCCATTATTTTTCCATAGCAGCCTTACTAAAAGAGAATTCAAATACTACGTAATTAACTGAAAATTTTCCTCACTCACAAAAGAAACATACCTTTTTTACCACCCCTCCCCCAGAATGTCTCAATTGCATAGCCTTGACTGACCTGGAACTTGCAATATAGACCATGCTGACTGGCTGTCTTTGAAATACTGGGATTAAAGGTGTGTACCACCAGATATAACAGCATCACATTTTCAAGGGTCAACCAAGTTGTAGTATGTACCCTTCCTTTCTTTCTTCTTTTGGTAGTTATATACAGAGACCAGAGGAAAACCTCAGTGGTTGTTTTTCATATACCTATAAACAGGATTTCTCACTGGTCTAGAACTTGTCAAATAGACTGGACTTCCCAACAAATCTGCAGCCTTGAGATTCTAAGTGTGTGCTACCATATTCGCTTCTCTTCATAATATTTATTTAAGGTGTATTGTGCTTTACCTGCATATATACTTGTATACTACATGTGTTACATGACTTTGCTTATGAGCTGCCATGTGGGTACTGGGAATCAAACGTAGGTCCTTTAAAAGACCAATCAGTGCTTTAACCACTGGGTCATCTCTCTAACCTCCATACCTGATGGGAGTTGTCATTGTGTAAATATGTCTCTCTTATTGGTTGATGAATAAAACACTGTTGACCAATAAGGAAGCAAGATAGACAGGACCAAGAGACAAGGAGGATTCTGGGAAATGTAGTAGAAAGAAGTTGCCATTGTGATCCCAGGAGAGGATGCATGAGTCTGGCATTTTTGGTAAGATAAGACCTTGCAGAAATACATACATTAGTAGTCATGGGTTAATACTTAAGACAGGGTCGGGTGGTCGTGGTGGTGTACACCTTTAATCCCAGCACTTGGGAGGCAGAGGCAGGCAGATCTCTGTGAGTTCAAGACCAGCCTGATCTACAAGGCCTAGTTCCAGGACAGCCTCTAAAGCCAGAGAAACCCTGTCTCGAAAAACAAGATACAAAACAAAAAAACAAAAACAAAATAGACAAGGACAGAACTAGCCAATAAGAAGTCATAGACATTGGCCAACAGCATTATGACTAACAGTCTCTCATAACACATACCGACTTCTTCTATCTGGATTCTAGGAATTAAACTCAAGATTCCATGCTTGCAAGGAAAGTACTTTACCAAGTAAATTACTTCCCCCATCCTCAATAAAATACTTCATTTATTTTTATTTCTAATTATTATTTCGTTATTTAAATACATCTCATTGTGTTTATGTGGTTTCCAACAGATAAAATAACTTGCCTATATACCATTTAATATACTTATCACCCACTTTTTTTTTCTTTTTGAGGTAGGTTCTTAACAACCCAGGCTGGCCTTGAGCCTCAGACTCTTTAAGTACTTGGATTACAGGGGTGTACCACCATACCCTACTTTATCTGCCATATAGAACCATGACATTGGGTACAAAGTAATACCTCAATGTATGGTTTGTGTGTATGTTTTGTTTGTTTTTTAAATTAATTAAAATGTTTTAGTGTTGAGCATTAATGTTTATGAAATACAATGTGATTCCCTGATGATATATATAAGCTTATAATCTGCAATAATTAAATCAGGCTAGTTAAGAAAATTATCATGCAGGGTAGTAGTGGTGCATGCCTTTAATCCCAGCAGAGGAAGGCAGATCTCTGAGTTCAAGTCCAGTCTGGTTTGCAGGTCAAGTTCCAGGACAACCAAGGCTACAAAGAAAATGGGGGGGGAACGGACCCGAAATGAGCCAGACCAGGCAGTGGTGGTGCATGCTTTTAATCAGCACTCGAGAGGTAGAGGCAAGGAGATCTCTGAGTTTGAGGCCAGCCTGATCTACTGAGTAAGTTTCAGGACAGCCTCCAAAGCTACAGAGAAACCTGTCTTGAAAAAACAAAACAAAAAAAGAAAGAATATGATTATTTCATATATCTTGTCCTAAAAATATTTAAAATCTCTTTAGTCAGTGTGGTGGTACATAGCTTTAATCCCAACACACTCAAGAGGTAGAGATAGGCAGATCTGAGTTCAAGATCAGTCTAGTCTATATATCAAGCTCCAGGGCAGCCAAGGCTACATAGTCTCGAAAGATAAAAAAATCTGTCAGCAACTTCAGAATATACATGAACCGCAGCTAGCATCTAGTGTACCCATCAGTAAAGCACACTCTTTCCAGTCTGAAACTCTGTACCCTCCCCTCAATACCTCCCTTTCCCCTATTTGCTCCCATCCACCCTCACCCTAAGGGCTAAGGCTGTTCTGTTATAATTTTTTATGTGCCTACTGTAGCTATGTCTACTTCCCTGTTTGATCACCTACCAATTAAAAAGAGTTGGGTTTTTGTTTGTTTGTTTTTTGAAAAGAGGCCCACATGATGAATTAAGAGACTTGCTCACAGGCCTGGTACCAAATGAGACCCACATGGTAAAAGGGAGAAAACACCCACTGAGTTGTCCTCTCAACTCCACATGTCTGCCATAGCAGGTTCATGCCCACACTTACATACAAATAAACAAAATAAACAAACAAAAATCCTAAAGTGCAAGCAACACTCTGTGGCAGATAAACAAAACTATCTGATATAATTTGAGCTTGCTCTAGCAAAGAAGTCTACTCTATTCCAATGTTGTCTTCCCCACAAAATAAGCTATCATATAGGCTCAAGCAATATTTTTTTTAATTGTAGTTGTTATGGAATTGAAGCAACAGTCAGAGGTGTATGAGAAGAACCCACATTTTAGGCTGGTCATGAATAGAATTAGAGAGATGGTCATTCCTTGTGGGACTGTTTTTCTCTGAACCATTTCTGGAACTTTGCTAGCTTCTACCAGAATTCTAGGCTTCTCTATATATCTGCATCTGAGGACAAGTTCAGTAAAAGCTATTAGTGCCACTAGGTACTAGCATTAGTCACATCTGCCTCCACTAAACTACGATCCTGGAGAACAAAAGCATCAGCATTTTCAACTTTATGTCATTTATAAAAAAAAAAGGAGTGAATAAATATCTTCTGGTGATTATATACAGTTCCATTAGACTTCTGATTATCTAGTCCACAACTTTTACACTCTATCTTGTTAATAGTTTTACAGATGGTATATGAAGAAGTTAGAATGTTCAGAAATAGAACACAAAATGCTTAAACTGAGACATGCAGCTGGCAAAACCAAAGCTGAAAACACTTGATATTGTAGACAATACCAAAGATAAGTTACCTTGGATTAAACTGTACATAATTTAGACATTTATTAAAGTTTTATTATAAAGAACTTACAAACAAGCATCACAACTTAAAAATGAACAATTTTTTAAATATTTAACTTTGCTTTTCCTTATGTGTATGTGCCCGAATGTGAGTATGCACGACAGATAACGCACTAGATCCCTTGTAGCTGGAGTTACTGGTGACTATGAGCAGAGCTGACAGATGTAGGAGCTGGGAACTCAGTTTGGCAGCAAGCACTCTTTACTACTTAACTCTCTAGTTCCTAATCTATAAAATTTGATGAATTGCCCGCGGGTCTTTGTTTTTCATGCAGCTAGTATGTGTGTGATGTGTGACACCAAGTAGGGGAAAGGAATTTAGTAATTTAGGTAGTAGAGCTATTTTTATGCCACTAGAGGGAGCTTAAGCAACAAGGAAGTAGAACAACCATCTGGAAGCAGCGCAGAGTGGCTTACCCCTCAATTGTCATCCCAATCAGTATTTTCTAAGGAAAACCATGTTTTCAGAGCCAAATGTATTACTCAGATATGATATTAACACAAGGGTTAGTATTCTGAGTCACAACATTTGTACCTGGAAAGATTTTTCTCATAAGGGTGAGGGTTAGGAAATGTTCTCCCACTCAACTACATGCCCTTTAGGAGAATGTTCTGATGAAAACACAAGTACCAGCATGAACTTATTTAAAATATTTTGGTATAAAAGATTCAGATTCTAGGCAGGGTGAGCCCAGGACAGTCAGAGCTCTTACACAGAGAAACCCTGTCTTGAAAAAAAAAAAACATTAAAAAATTCAGATTCTAAAATTCAATGGCTTTGATGAGAAGGGTATCAATCACTTTTAGTTTATGTGTTCCTTGCTAAATGAATTCTTGTGATATTATGAGTTCCCCCTGACTCTTTTCATTCCATGTATTTAAAATATATAGTAATATACCCTTGAATATCATATATATGCTAATTTACAGAAAATAATGGTATTCTAGACTTTGGTATTTTTGTTTGTTTGTTTGTTTTTTGATCTGCTTGTTTGGTTGGTTTTATTTTGAGATAGAGTCTCACTCTATAACTTTGGCTGTCCTAGAACTCACTATGAGGCCAGGCTGGCCTCCAATGAACTCACCTCTGCCTCCCAAATTGACAATGATTTTAAAAATTCATCTGAGAGCTGGGATGTGGCTCAATTGGTAGTGTTTTCCTCACATGCACAAACGCCCTGGATTCAATCCTTAGCACCACATAAACCAGGTATGATGACACATGCCTGTAATCCCACCATGGAGGGAAAGGGCAAGAAGACCAGGAGTTCAAGGTCATTCTCAGTTACATAGTTACATAGTACATATTTTGAGACAGCTTGGGATCCTGATTTAAAAAAAAAAATCTTGCCAGGCAGTAGCAGTGCAGGCCTTTAATCCCAGCACTCAGGAGGCAGAGACAGGCGATCTCAGTGAGTCTGAGACCAACCTGGTCCACATAGGGAGTTCCAGGACAGCCAGGACTATTACACAGAAAAAACCCTGTCTCAAAACAAAAACAAACCAAAAATCTTAGTTTTGGCTTTCACGATGTAGCTGTGGGGATTTAGGAACCTTCTGTAAATGGACAGTATTTCTATAATATAGACTACACAGTGAATTAGTTGTGATGTTTAGACTACTTCTACTTTGTGGCTTTTATAGATACAGGTCTCCTTTGTATGTACGTGTATATGTTAAAACCCGCTGGTTTGACACCTGTAAGTACAGCTGTGTACATTTCCAGTTTTATTTTCTAGAACTTGCCAGTTTGCACTCTTCCTAGCAACATGCAAGAGCCTGCATTTCCATGTCTGTGACCACCACTAGTCAGACACTGGTTTGTAGCAAGCTAAGAAACTTAAAAAATGCTACTGTCTAGACCTGCATTTTCCCAATTAAACATTTTTTCCTGGTTAAAAAAAGATTTTACAGAAGCATTTTAAATTTACAGTAGAATGGCAAAGATAGTTCAGAGAATTCGTGTCACACCACACCTCTTCCTCATTATAACCGTCTGTTGGTAGTTTACTGACAATGTTCATTACAGCTAAAAATTCTGATTTTACTCAGAATGCCTTACTTTTGCCTAATGCCTTCCTGTATTCCAAAATCTCATCCAGATTCCAGAAGTTTTCACACTTTTCCAGTACTTCCTATACTTTGAGATTTTTAGTTTTCACAGTTTACATGGTGTTTACTAACTTTGGACAGAATCTTGTCTTTTCCATAGAAACTGGGGTTAGATACTTTTGGCATTAAGTCCACAGAGAAAAAAAAATGCCATTTTTATCAACTATCAATATGACTTATTTCTGTTCACATTAATTCAGTTCACCTGGCTAAGAAAACATTTGCCAGATTTCTCCAACATTAATATTTATATATGACCTAAGTTATTCATCAAAACCACTCTTTAATCATAGCAATGAACACATGTGCTACTTAAATGAACAACTGAAAAAGTCATAGACTACATTTTTTTTCAGAACTTTAATAAAGTGCCATCAAGATGGCTCAAAGGATGAAAGTACATACTTGCCTCCAAGCCTGAAGACTTAACCTCAATTTCCAGGACCTACTCTCCTCTACCACTGACCTCCATATGCTCCCCCTCCAACAACAACAAAACAATAACCAAAAATACAACTTTAAATAAATGTGTAATCAAAAAGGAAGCAAACTTAAAAAAACAAAACAAAAAAACTCCACAAAATCATTCACCACAATATCACATAAGTAAAAACCCAGACTTCGCCGGGCGGTGGAGGCGCACGCCTTTAATCCCAGCACTCGGGAGGCAGAGGCAGGCAGATCTGTGAGTTCCAGGCCAGGCTGGACCGACAGCCTCCAAAACAACACAGAGAAACTCTGTCTTGTAAAAAACAAAACAAAACAAAAAAACAAAAAAAAGAGAAAAAAACAGGCTTCCTGAGAACTAATAAAACAGTAGCCAACTGAAAATCATATTAATTCTAGTCTTGTTAAGCATTTTAAACTTATTTGGGGATAATTTTACATTTACTGAAAACTTGAGTCTGAGTGTATTCTTTCTTCTTGTGTAACTGTTTTTTTTTTCTTTTAAAATATCTAATTAAAATCTTATTTTAAAATGCTGTTGGTATGGTTGTTCCTTAGAGTTTGTTTATGAGTTTTTATCATGATCTGAGTCTTGTGTACATGCATTTAGAAGAAAGCTTTTTTTAGTCACCTTTTACTATGTTTTCTTTCCTGTCTCCTCCCCTTTTTGCAAACAGCACTGCACTTATGTGAATATGCTACATAAATAGTTACGGAAGGTCTATGCAGTTCTTCCTTATCACTTTATCTTCAAATAAGAATTACTGTGGTTATAGCAAATTGGTATCCACTTCCCAATAGGATATATTTAGTAACTTTTTAAAGGGCTGGAGAGAAGGCTCAGCAGCCAAGATCATTTGTGCTCTTCCAGGACACAAATTCAATTTCTAGCACCTACATTAGATGGCTCACAATCACCTATAACTCCAACATCAGGAGATTCAATAACTTCTAGCTTCCAAGGGTATCTGGACACATAGTACGTAGAGTTACAGAAATTATAATAAAGTACTTTTTCTGTTGTTGTTTGTTTTGTTTTTAAACAAGGTCTCACTATTGTAACCCTGCTTCCCTGGAACTTATCAAGAGATTGGCTTGCCTGTCTCCCCAGTGTTATGAACAAAGGCATGTACCACAACAGCCAGAGAAAAAAAGCCTTTTTTAAAGCCAAGAAAGGAAAAAAATAATCAGGGCTCTAGGACAATGACTTTAAATTTCCTAAATTAAATTAAAATCACAGGTGAAAAAAAAGAAATAGAATTATGAACACCCAAATAAAGCTATAGTTATATCTTTGTGTTATTTTCTATTTCAATTTTACCTGCATAGAGCTACTGATACTTTTTTATACTCTGTTATAATTCAATAAATGACTATTTTGCTCAAACCCTTCCAGCTTTGGCCACTGGGAGCTCTTCCAACCAGTTCTGGTATGCCTTTGACATGATCACATCACTTTGGATACTTGCACAAAATACTCCAGGCTCTTTTGAGTACTTGCTGACCATTTCTCTCAAGAGTTCTAGTTCCTCTTATTGGAGAATTGCCTAGAAACCAACCTCTAAACATGAGAATCTACATTGCTATTGGAATTGTGGTGCCCTTAAGATTGGCTTGGCTTATAGAGAAAGGAAATACACAAATAACCACGGCATGTACTTATCTATAGATATTTCTATATGCAACATTAAAATAAACACACCCAAACACAGACAACAACTCAATTAAAGACAATAGCTAGTATTAAGTATCTTACCTGAGCACCTACTAGCTGCAGTAATGCTGAGTTCACAGGAAGGAGCTCAATGTCTGTATTGATAGTGGTCTGGTCAAAGGGGCAAGCCTTACGGTGGAGTTTATTCAGGCACATTTTGCAGACAGTATGGCCACAGCCCAAACTGATGGGCTTTCGAATTGTTTCGTCGAAAGTCTGAGTGCAAATTGGGCAGGAAAGGAAATCCGTCCATTGTGGAGCTTGTACAGGCATTGCTTCTGGAGTTACAATTCACTAACACACACACACACTCTCTCTCGCTCTCACGCTCTCTCTCTCTCTCTCTCTCTCTCTCTCTCTCTCTCTAAAGCAAAGATTCCACTGGAATCAAAATCTTGGAAAAAAGTTTATCTTTTTTTAAATATCTTCTGTAGATACAGTCAGCACATAGTGTGAAATATAACCTGGAAAACAAACAAAGAAAAAAATTAGAATAATCCACTGTTTTTTAAAATTAAACTGATGAAAAGAGATCAACGACCAGCCATGCGTTGGTGGTGCATGCCTTTAATCCCAGCACTTGGGAGGCAGAGGCAGGCGGATCTCTGTGAGTTCGAGGCCAGCCTCCAAAACAACAGAGAAACCCTGTCTCAGAAAAAAACAAACAAACAAAAAAGAATGAAAGAAATCAACAACCTTCCATTATCATTTTAATATCACAATAATCTATCTTTTCACATTTTTATAAAATCAAAACTATGGTAAATAATCAGTTCCATTTCCCATTTTAGAGGGGAGGATTTTTCCAAGAGGTGAATTAGCTTGCCCAAGGCATAGGAGGTTGGAATTAGGACATCATTCTCTGCAGACACACAGCATAAAACAAGTTTCTCTACATAGAAGAGAATGGACTGCCTCTGTCTCTCAAATACTGAGATTAAAGACTGTCACAACACCTGGCCCTCACATCCTTTTTAAGGAAACTAGTATTCCATTTCTTGATCTACATGGATCTGTTGTAAAAACTCTCATGTGATTTTGTGTAAATTACGCATCAACAAAGAAGGTTTTGTTTTTCTAATTTACCCAGGATGCACAAAGCTCTTCAGTCCTTAGTACTGGAGAAGTAAGTCAAAGATCACCCTCACTCAGCTCACAACAAAGTTGAGTAGTCTCACACACAAACAAAACAAACTTTAACCAAAAACTCCCGCTACTTTTAAATACGTTATCAAATACGGTGGGAATAATAAGATAAGGGAGACTATATGCAGTTCTAATTTTTTTTAAGTTTTGGGCACTGCTAAGTTTTATATCCTGGTAGATTTTTTTTATTGTATGACCTACATTTCATTGCTACATAGTGTACTGATAGAACAAGACGGTTAAAACGTCAAAAAAGGCAGGGCGGTGGTGGCGCACGCCTTTAATCCCAGCACTCGGGAGGCAGAGGCAGGCGGATCTCTGTGAGTTCGAAGCCAGGCTGGACTGATAGCCTCCGAAACAATACAGAGAAACCCTGTCTCGTAAAAACCAAAAAAAAAAAGTCAAAAAAATTTTAATCCTCCAATTTAAAATTTAAAGACCAGAAAATTACAGTTAGCTAGATCCCAAACATATTTGAATTTCCTCATGTATTCTTTGTTTTTTGCTTAGAGATAAAAGCTAAACAGAAATATTTACATTTTTAAATTTTCATCTCATTTTTTCATGGGAGAAGGGCACACATACTATTGAACACACGTGGAAGTCAGAAAACAATGTGCAGAAATCAGTTCTTCCTAATGCATGGGTCCCAATGATTAAACTATGGTTGTCTGTCTTGGCAGTAAGATCCTTTGCCCTCTGAGCTACCTCACTGACACCATCAGAAATTTTTTAAACTATAAAAAAAACCCAACCTAAAACCTTTAGTACATGTCTTTTGTCTTGTTTTAAAGAAATTAAACTAGGTTCTTGCGCATTCTAGGCAAGCACCCCAACCAATTAGCTACAAATCTAGTCTCTAAATGTCTTAATTTTACCAATAATTTTAGTGTTTTTTTTTAATTGGGGGGATAAGAGGATGGTGTTGGTCTTGCTGTGCCCAGGATGGCCTGGAATTCACCACCTAGTTCACACTGGTCTCAGACTTGCAGGACAATCCTTCCCTGTTTCCTCGGTGCTGGGATTAATGGTGTATGCCGCCATGTCTGGCATGCCAGGTGCTTTTATGACAATGAGAAAAGTGACTAGTAAAATAATATTACACACTATTAATGATTTGATTATGCTCAGTAGTATGTTTAAAGATGGAAACAAATATTATTTCAGTTGTCATTAGGTAGAAAAATTATCTGCTGCATCTTATTTTTAAAGTAATTACAAGTAATTCACATTTTATTGAAAGTTCAATACCATGAAGCATGGTAGCTCAGAATTGTAAGTTCAACTGCTATGGAATAATCCTTCTGTATACTGTGTGAATATGTGTCACTATGATTGGCTTAATAAACAATCGGGCTGGCCAATAACTGAACAGGATAAAGTTAGGCGGGAAAGCCAAACTGATAATGATGAGAATAAGAAGGGTGAAGTTAGGGAGGTCACCAGTCAGACCCAGAATGAGTCAGACACACAAAATGAGGTAAAAGCCAATAGCCTTTTGGCAGCACATAGATTAATAGAAATGGGTCAAGTTGTAAGAACTAATTAGTAACAAGCCTGAGCTATTGGCCAAGCACCTACAATTTATATTAAGTCTTCGAGTCAGTTATTTGGGTTATTTGGGAGCATGTAGTCGGGACAGCAAAACTCCACCTACCCCAAAACTTAGGAGACCAAGGCAGGGGGACTGATCCAATTTTGAGACCACTGCAAAGTACATGGGGCAGACTAGGCTATAGTGTGAGACCCTGTCTTAATAAAACAATCAAAAACAAAAAGAAAAATTAGAGAAAAGTTTCTATTACAGGATATGCTAAAAACTTTATCTACATATCCAACAAATGTTTACAAACACTATAGTGCACCAGACTGGATTAATTGTTGGGAACATAACAAAACATCACAATCACAGCATATGCCTTCATGTAGTCATCAGCTTATTGAAATGCAAACCTGGATTTTATAAAATGTGCGGCTAGATAATTAAGATGAGATCTCTTGGGGAAACAGGGGGGTGTCAAAGGAAGAGGCTAATCAAGTTGGGGAAGGGATGGGAGAGGGAGAGCAATGAAAGAGGTATCTTGATGGAGAGAGCCATTGTGGGGTTGGGGAGAAACCAGGTGCTAGAGAAATTCCCAGGAATCCACAACGATGACCCCAGCTAAGACTCCTAACAGTAATAGAGAGAGTGCTGGAACTGGGCTTCTCCTGTAATGATTGGTGACTACCCTAATTATCATCATAGAACCTTCACCCAGTGACTGATGAAAGCAAATGTAGAGATCCACAGTCACCAAGCACTAGGATGAGAGTCCAGTGGAAGAGAGGGAGGAGGGATTGTATGAGCAAGCGGGTCAGGATCATGAAGGGGGAAACCCAGAGACAGTTTGGTAGCCTGAATGTGACTAAACTAGGCCCTCTGCATGTGGGCCTAGTCTGTGAGGCTTAGTCTGTTTGTAGGGCTCCTGACAGTAGGACCAAATCTATCTCTGGTACACGAGCTGGCTTTTTGGAGCTCATTGTCTATAGTGGAACGCCTGTTCAACCTTGACTGGGGGTGAGGGGCACCTTGGTCCTGCTTCAACTTGATTTGCCAGGCTTTGCTGATACCCATGGGAGGGAGAGGCCTTGCCCTTTCTGAGGAGTGGATTGGGGTAGGGGAGCAGGAAAGAGAGAACTGTGGTTGGTATGTAAAATGAATAGAAAATTTAAAATGAAACTATATTTAATAGCTTACTAGACTATAACAAATGTGTAGCCTGAAATGACTCACTATGTGGCTGGCCTCTAGCTAACAGTGATGATTTTCACAAGCTTCTGCTTCCCACATGTCTTGACTGCAGGTGTTTACTTCCACATCTGTCTCATGTTTTTTTTTTAATTTTATAAACACTATTTAAAACAAAACTTGTAAACAAAAAAGCCATTACACTGTAGCCATGTCAAAATTCCATACATTTTCTAAAGTCAGTTACTTGCATGTGTTCAGATGGCTCCCATAAACGCAAATAGTAAATCATGACGCTGCCTGCATTTTAACTTCTATAACATATTATACTTTAAATAAATCTCACCTATAAATCTGTCGTGTGGATGTTAAAATAGAACTATTACAGGGTCAAATGCTACAATGAAAAGTGTTTGTAGCATGTTCCAAGATGAAGAACTAGAAAGTGAGCGTTGAGAAGATGAGATATTCAAGCTAAGACCTACACATTAGGAAATGGCGGGCCAGTGAGGTGGCTCAGCAAGTAAAGGTGCTTAGGACCCATGGAGTGGAAGGAGATAAACCTTAAAGCTGTCTTGCCCTCCATACACAAACCATGGTATTCAAGCACTCATAGATTCATACAAATAAACAAATGTTATAATGCTTTTAAATAAAATCTATGCTAAAATTCATTAAATTAAATAAAGTATCCTCTGTTACCTTTTCTAAGAATCTGACCATGTAGACCATGCTGGCCTTGAACTCACAGAGATCTGCCTGCCTCTGCCTCCTGAGTGCTGGCATTAAAGGCTGAGCCACCAATGGCCAGCTCCCATTGTTTCTCTATGCAAGTAAATATACAATACTAATTGTAAATGAATTATTATGTTATTTCCAATTCTTCTGTCTCTTAATTAAGTCAGGTTTTTTTCTTAAAAAGTATAGCTGGTTTTTTGGGGGGGGAAAGTGTCGAGACATGGTTTTTCTGTGGCTCTGGAGGCTGTCCTGGAACTAGCTCTTGTAGACCAGGCTGGTCTCGAACTCACAGAGATCCACCTGCCTCTGCCTCCCGAGTGCTGGAATTAAAGGCATGGGCCACCATCACCCTTTGATACAGTCTTAAATAAGACATTTATATCAACTCCTCCAGGCTGGGAACACTGCAGAAGAGATGGACAGAATGAAGAGCCAGAGGATGGATGAGTGCTGTGAAGACAAGGCATGACCACTAAACACATGACCTCACAGCAGCTACGGTTACCTGTACAACAAGCAAATCAACAATTCAGCATCAATAGGAGGGCTCATGAGCCTATATCACTATTGGCTAGTGCAACTGATGGATTCAAAGGGAATCATTTTTCTTTATGAATGTGGCTACTTATTAGGTTGTTCATGCCCCTGAGGATGGTCCCACTCATGTATATGCAAGGAAGCACTAATAGGACTTGGGTTATTCTCATTAAAAAGGAAGGAAATAGAACAGGACATAAAGATAAAAGGGGAATGTTTTGGGGGTAGTGGGTAAGGTAGGAAGACGTGCAGGGCTGGATAGGATGGAAATACATTGTGTAAACATATAAAATAGTCAAAAAATTATTTTAAAGA